GTAAATGAGAATTGTACAATGAGCCTCATTCTCAATTCTAGAATTTATTCATCAGGATTCTAAGACAAATTGACAAGATACACAGTAATGCATAGTAATTTCAGCTCAATGTCACACATCCATGAATATTCCATTATGGATTGATTTATACAAAAGCTATGTGATAAGAAACGTAGTGTATTGAACCGGAATGGCAGATAAATGAAAACTCTACAGACACAAAGAAACAACAAAAGATAATGATTAAAATAATTTTAATTAAACTAACTGGTCGCAGAAAGAAAGAAATACTTTTTTGCCACCACAGGTAAATTATTATCACGGGCCTAAAATTTAACAGAAAACGTGAAAAGACCAATTCAGAACGTTTCCGGCCGGCCTGTTAAAGCAATCACTTGAAAAGGATTGAAAAAACAAACCGGCCGAGAGTTTTAAAAACAAACAGCCCAAAAGCAAATGTTTACCTTGTGTAATCAGCTCACCTAATTGAACTACCCACTCGATTCGTAGGAGTGTTAAAAAAAATATCAAAAAAATACTTTCAATTGGATTATAATTGAATCGAGGTATGGACAATTGCAAAAAGATAATGCTGAATAATTTCTGCACTCTCAACACGACACGCAAGAATCGTATAATTACACAGAAGGCAAACACTTAGAGCCCTGAAGATGATCTCAATAAAGATCGAAACGTTGGCACGATAAAGAAAATGTTTTTCTGAAACCTACATCACACCAGACCGCATCTCACGAGTTCTGAATAATTTCTGCAACATTGCATTAATTCCCTTATCTATGACTTTGTTCCAACTGAACCCAAGTGACTCCAATTAGCCGAGATGCATAAAAACACAGGATATATTAAAAACATTATTGTTTCTTATTAAAAGTGGTCAGTATAAAAAAAACAATTATTTCCTGGCCAGTTAGACGGGTGTAATTTTATTAATATTACATTTTTGTGTTTCAAAGTAATAATAAATATGTATATATAAAAAAATATAAACTTTTTTTATCATTGAACTTCTCGAATGATTTGTTTAATATTTATGTGGGAGGTTTATATGCCAACAAATAGCTGAGGTCATCACCGGCCCTCCGTGTTTTCCTTCTTTTGTCAGTCTTTTATGTGTATTTTGTTTCAAACTGAAGCCACTTGAACATATTGATCTGGTTACTGATTTTCAGCTTGTATATGTATACTACATAGTTATTCTAAAATGCTAGTCTTTTGTTTGTACTTCGTATAAACATACAAGTCTGGTCACAATCGTTCATTGGGACGTGATCGAACCCACTCCATTCTCACTAATAATTCCAGGCATCACACAGAACCGTTGTCCACAGCTTCCCAGTATCATATCCTGCACCGTGCTGCTTGTCGTAGCTACCAGTACTTTCAGCCCAGTCTATTCAGCCTCCTGGTCATTGTCTAGCGCAAACATCATCCCCAGTTTATCTACACCATCTAAACTGAACTCAAAGCCGTCTGAATACCTCTGCCGGATATTCCCGGAGTACTCGATATTCCTTGGGACAGGGTTAAACAACCCCTTCCTTTCTTCCTAATAAATTATATTTATGCCAATAAATTAACATAAATAAACACAAACCTGATACAAACATATAAGTCTGGTTACATGCATTCCCCAGAGTACTTGATATTTCTCAGGGCGCATTTGTTTAAATCATCTTCCTTTTGATAATTTCAAAGATTTATCTTATGAGTAATAAGAGATAGAGCTCGAATGGAGGCCTTAACTAAAATAAAAATAGCTAAGAATTTTTTATTATCGATAAAATATAAACAATTAAAATAATATATTTCTTCTAAATGATAAGTTCTGTGAAAAAACCATTAATAAATGGTCACCTCACTACAGGTATCATGTGATCTAATAATTTATCTTCTCTGCCCAACTGTGAGAGTGATGTTTAAGGGACGTTAGTGCTCATCACTGTAAGGTAAAGGTCTCGCGTTCAAATCCAGTGCATTCAAACCCAACATGCTTACGAATGGACTTTTTGTCAAAAACACCTACCCTGAGGTTGATACGACCTCTGCTGTTATGAACCCTTGATGGGAGGAAAAGTAAAAGTTCTCTAATAAAAATAATAATTTTCACATATTATTTGTGGGAGTAAGTAGTCTCTCAGTGGGTGATGATTGGATTCGTCAGGCAGAATTGATATGGAGAAGCAATTACATGGGCAGGATCCAGCAATCATGGACATATAGGGGTAGATCTGGAGGCTTCAGTTATCTTGTTAAAGCTTGAAAACAAAGACTAGCCTTTAAAATCTTTTTTTCCCCCCATTTAGTATTCATAAAATTACATATTATTAATCATTTAACATTTATAGACGATACTCATGATCATGTGGCTGTCTGTTAAATAGTTCAGCATTACCCGACAGTTAAGAATAGATCAAAGTTTGCGAATGAGAAGTGATACGTTGAGCCTCATTCTCTGGTGGTGGTAGTTGAGTGGTTAGCATGTCGTCTTGACTCATAGACACCACAGTCGTGGGTTCAGTTCTCATCTCCACCCCTGGAATTTTTGGCCTGTTTCATTACCCTGAAAAGTATGATGTACTACAAACCTACACTGCCTCTAATATGGAAAGTTTTAAGACATAAAAAAAATTATTATAAATCTCAATAAAGCACAAAAATGGTTAACTTTTTACATTTTTCCTTCCTGGTGTTTATTTATATAACAAAGTTAACAAATAAATGTATTTAGTAGTCATAATTGACCATTATTTATTATTTTAATTAATTATACTTTTTATCTAAGGTTGAGGTGAAAAAGCTATTGTCATGAGTGTGATTTGAACCCACAACCTTCGTCTAGTCGGACCAAAACCTTAGATAAAAAGTATAATTAATTCAATTAATTAATACAGTTAATTATGACTGCTAAATACATATATGGATTAACATAATAATTATGGAAATACTTACTTCGTTAACAGCTGCCTATGGGCACTTCATAAGTCATCTCAACGAAGACCTTCGATAAAAAGTATAATTAATTTTTTTAAGTTAACCAAGTTAATAGATTAATAATGTGACCCTAGAAGTCGGTCAGTATATCAAAAAATACAAAATAATCCCTACAAATTTCTTTTGTTAATTAATAAAACCAAATTTAAATGAAAATGGTTCAAAAATTTCAAAGAAGCCGCGATTTGCTTACAATTAGAATAAAATCGGGTAGTCGAAATTAAAAGTTTGTGGTATGGGCGATCGAAGTCACGGTAGCTCAAGAGGTAGAGCAGCGGTGTATTGAGCCAAAAGTCGTGGGTTCGAATCCCGCCTGTGACACAAATTTTTCATTTAGAAAAAAATTGTGTACAATTAATTGAGTATTTATATATTTAATAGAAGCTGATAAAATGTAGTATTTTTGGTCTTCATTTGTTCCGACAGTTTTGAAGAATATTTTTTTGTCTTTTGGAAGTTAACACCAACAATCTGAGTTCTGAAATGTTAAATTTTACCTTGTGACATAATCACTACAATTTTTATTTATCCCACATTATAATAAAATCTTAAATTTAAAATACTTAAACCAATCTAGCCTTTTGTTGCATAATGATCAAATATTCATGGCAAATTATTAAAAAATGAAAATTTTCTTTATGTTTAAATTAAATATATTGGGTTGTCCGGAAAATAATGCAGGATTTTGTTTTCATTAAAAAAAATCTATATAAAATATTCTGTTTACGTTTACAGGATTACTCATTTGTATGAATGTCAACACTTATTAATCCTCTTCCAAATGATATTGTTTGTTTACCTCTGTAGCATTCCGCTACTTGGAAATAATTCAGTCATCCTTATAATGTCAAAGCGAGAATTTCGTACGATTTTCTTTTACGAGTTTAAACTCGGCCGAAGCGGAGCCCAAACGGCTAGAAACATTAACCAAGTCTGGGGCGAGGGTTGTGTTAATGAGTGCACTGTGCAAAGGTGGTTTAAAAAATTTCGGGAGGGAGATTTCAGCCTTGAAGATGAAGAAGGTCGTGGAAGGCCTTCCTCTCTTAATGATGATGTTCTGCGATCAGTGGTGGAAGAAAACCCCAAAACAACTGTTCGAGAACTTGCAGAGCAACTCAAAGTCAGTAAAACGACCGTCGCTGACCACCTCAAGGCGATTGGAAAAGTGAAAAAACTCGAAAATTGGGTTCCACACTCATTAAACGATCGCCAAAAAATCAGCGCTTTGATGTTTGTGCATCACTTCTTTGTCGAAACAAAAATGACCCATTTCTGGCCAGAATTGTTACATGTGACGAAAAGTGGATTCTCTACGATAACACTAGACGTTCTGGACAGTGGCTCGACAAAGGAGAAGCTCCAAAGCCCCCAACTCATCAAAAAAAGGTAATGGTTACGGTATGGTGGGCTTCATTTGGTTTAATACACTACAGCTTCTTAAATCCTGGCGAAACCATCAATGCTGAATCATACTGTAACCAAATTAATACCATGCATCAGAAATTGGCAGTAATGAAGCCCTCTTTGGTCAATCGGAAAGGGCCCATTTTGTTGCATGACAACGCTCGACCACATGTGTCACGTGTAACGTCACAAAAATTATTGGAGCTTGGCTATGAAACTTTGCCTCACCCACCCTACTCTCCGGACCTCTCGCCTACTGACTACCATTTTTTTAGACACCTGGACCACTACTTACAACACATAATATTCAAAAATCAAACGGAACTGGAAAATGCATTTATTGACTTTATCAATTCTAAAAATTCTGAATTCTACTCAGACGGAATTAATAAGTTACCAACACGTTGGGAGAAATGTATTGAGAGTATGGGTTGATTAAAGAACATTGCTTTAAAGTAACTAGTTTCTTTTTTTTTGTTTAATACCAAAATCCTGCATTATTTTCCGGACAACCCAATAAATAATACGCCTCTTTATGTGAATTTGTAAATTGTAGAAAATGTTAATTGATTTTATTTTTTCAGGACTATGTACCAACAAATAAAGACATCCTTCACGCTAGAAAAGCCACAAAGGGAATCTCAGAGTTTACAATTTCGATAAACAACATTCCATTTCGATTTGTGGATGTCGGTGGGCAACGATCGCAGCGGCAGAAGTGGTTCCAGTGTTTTGACTCTGTCACGTCGATTATTTTTTTAGTCTCATCTTCCGAATTTGACCAAGTCCTTGTTGAAGACAGGTAAGGCTTGCCGATTATTTTGTCTTATGCTAAAAGTAATTAATGAATGATAGGATTCTTCTGTGTGGAATCTAGGTCTATATTGCACAGGAATTTTATGTAAAGATATGTTTGCTTGGTCTCCTTTAGGCATAGTGTGATTTTTTGCAGTGATATTTTACTGAAACATGTACTGTAAGATATTTAGTTTATTTTTGTTGAGTAGGGTTTCCTCTCTCCCATTGGGCTTTTTCATAAGTAATCTTTTTTGCTTGCCTCATGCCTCAACCTTTTTGGGACTGATTTTTGGATGCTAAACCTCGTTCTCGTGCCTCTCTCCCGAGCCTTTTATTTTGTATTATGCATTGAATTTCAAAGCATTTGTTATACACAAATAAGGCAACAAAAAGAAAAATATTCCAAAATGTGTGATGGTTAGTGACCGTTAATTGATAATTATTCAGAAATCGTGAGATGCGGTCTGGTGTGATGTAGGTTTCAGAAAAACATTTTCTGAAACCTACATCACACCAGACTGCATCTCACGATTTCTGAATAAATATTCGAAAAATTATTGTGAATGTAAACAGCATAAAATAAAACTGAAGACACTGGGCAGACAGGAGGTAAAGAATCTGAAGACAACTGGGTAGATGGTAGGGATGAGTAGAAGGTTCAGAAGGACGGAGACGAGAGGTAGACAAAAGCAGGAAATTCTCAATGAAAAAAGGAATGTGTAGCAATTTCATAAAAGTTTGAGGGGATTATGAACAGAAGAAGAACTGAAAACATTGGTTCGTTGATGAGGACGGGAAAAGAGTGTGGGAGGTCTCTAGTGAGAGCAAAGGGGTCTGAGGTACTGGATACGACCTTAACCCAATCTCACGATATCTGAATACTTAACCCAATGAGTGTCCATCCAGGGCTGGAAAAAAAGCCTGAATTAGATAAGTCGTAATTGGGCCTGGAGAGCATACAAGCCTGAACGAGATACCTCATCACTAGTCCTGAAAAGGTTTGTTACCCAGTTCTTTTTTTTAATTTGGCTAGTTTATACCACGTAATTTTGTTCCAAGGCTCCGTTTTTAGCTAGTGTCCGCTACTTTGCCTGAAAATCCCTCATGACCCACGATCTTTGCCATTAAAGTGGCTCCAGGCATGCAGGATTCACTGAATGCCGAATATTTCCCAAGTTTTGAGATGCTCGGCTTGGAATTTGCCCAAAAAGTGTACCTATGTATCCCCACACTGTGGGGTTTGTACAGTCACCCTCTTTGTGTGGCTACAGGGAATATTTGCCAACTTTGAAGCAGCCGGGAAACTGGCAACTAGCTGAGCAAAGCAAGCACTTTCTATTGTTGCTCGGCATTTGGCAAATCCCAGTCTGGAGCCACCTTTAGATTTGATAATCCCATTTTTAAAGGTTATTTAGGCAGTACCAGACAAGTTATTATTATTATTATTAATTTTTAAGGGTGTTTCACGCCCTAACATCCAAACCTTCTATCTTAGGTTACCTATATCCCTTCTGACTGCTATAAAGCTCTGACTCCAAACATTCACTTGTAAACTAATTTATCCTCTTGCCATCCAAGCTTTAATTTTTCTTTTTAAAATTCTTAATTTGGAAGGCCAAATGTTTGCAAAAATCCCATTTTAAATTACATATAAAATTTATTTCTGTTTCTTTTTTTAATTAGAATTGTGAATTTTTGTTCCATAATTTAAACATTTCCCATAGGCTTGTATGGCTAATAATAATAATAATAATCATGTAGCGCTCCTTGAAAGTGCTATTCAGAACACTTTCTTGGAGAGAGAGCATGCTTTAGCTGTCTTCTTCGACCTGGAAAAAGCATACGATACGACCTGGAGATTTGGTATTCTTAAGAAACTCTATGATTGGGGTTTAAGAGGGAACACAGCTAAATTTTTAAAAAGCTTCCTCGAAATGAGGAGATTCCGGGTGAGATTAGGTACCGCCTTATCTAGTACGTTCATTCAAGAAAACGGGATTCCTCAGGGTTCGGTTCTGAGTGTCACTTTATTTGCCATTGCGATAAACGGTCTTGCTGATAATATAGATGATCGTATAGTCAGGCCTTTATATGTCGATGATCTTTGCTTTTACTTGTCTGGGAAAAATCTCCAAAACGTAGGAAGGACTTTACAAAACGCCATTGACACATTGTCACGAAAAGCAGATGATGTAGGTTTCAAATTCTCTTTGTCCAAAACGGTATTTGTACACTTTTGTAGACTGAGAAAACATCATGAAACATCTCGGCTTTTCCTTTCTGGCGTTGAAATAAAGGAAGTCGACGTTGTCAAATATTTGGGAGTTTCTTTCGACAAAGCCCTTCGATGGAAACAATTTGGGAAAAGGCCTAAATCTCATTATAAATTCCAATAAATTTGAGAAAGCTGAAAAGTGCTCTTTGAAAGAACCACTGGGGACCCAGTAACTCCTGTAAATCACTCGAAAGGTTGAGCCTTTGCCTAAAAGGTTGTAAAGTGGGACAGTTGACCAAAATATGTCTTACTGTCAAAATGATGTGTTCTCCACTTCGCATACATCGAGGACAAGTTGGAAGGTTGTTGCGTATTAAAAGCCTATTATGGATTAGCCTGATGTGACCTATTCGCAACCTAGAGAGAATCACAAGTTCTTTTCTCTCAAGTTCCTCAGTTGGCCATTTATGTACAACTGGCTTAATTTCTTTCATACTATCTCTACAGACATTCCATCTTGCCTCCTACTTTCGTTTGATAATGTTTTTAACATAAACGACTATATCATCTGGACGGAGAGGAAATTGATCTGTTCTTTGTGGATGGTTTACAGCGTTCCTTGCATGTTGATTAGCTTTTTCATTTCGAGAAATGCCGACATGACTAGGAACCCAAACGAATACCACATGCTTGTTAAGTGTTCTGATTTCATAGAGATATTTGTGAATTGCTAAGATATATGGGTCAACCGAGAAATTATTTTTGATTGCTTCGAGACCACTTTTCGAATCAGAGCAAATAATGGCATTACAAATTCCTTGCGATTCCTTTATAATGCTCAATGATCTTCTGATGGCATAAAGTTCAGCTGTATTACGCTAGCCACATTCGATAGAGACCAGCTGAGGTTATACTCATCAGCAAATATCCCACACTACACCAATTTCATTTTTAGACCCATCAGTATAAAAAACTTTATTTATTTAGTTATTTAAAATTCGCAAGAATTCTGCCTTGTTCATCAGAGAAGGTGTTTCTCTTTTGTTCAATAAGGCCAGATCTTTGATAATTGTGGCAGTAGGTAATGACCACGGTGGGGTATCTAGCAATTTAAAACCCTCAACCGCCGGCAAGGTATTCCCTCCTAATCTCAATATTTCAGTACCGCGGATTCCCAAAGGTCTCGTCCTAGTTCTTAGGAACGAGTACATATGTTGGTGAAGGTTATGGAAAACTGAAGGAAATAGAAGATGGAAAGGCTTAGACCAAAGTCTAGCAACAAGTTATTATTATTTATTTTATTTTTTATTTTTTAACGGGGGTTCGCAACAGCAGAGGTTATATCAACCTTTAGGGTGCCGGTGTTTTGAAAAAAAAAAACAAAAAACAATTGTAAGTATGTCGGGTTCGAATGCAGGGCCGCTGGATTCAAACCTGGGACCTTTACCTTACAGTGATGAGCGCTGTGTCAACGCTTAAACCGTTGCGGCCACCGACGCCTTACCTGAAAAGTTTTACATTTTTCTAGCTTAGAGAGTCTTTAGAGCTGCTTGCAAGAATATTATTATTGCCATATGAACACATTTCTACGGCTAGCAGTTCCGCTTGAAAGATGGTTGTGTTGGGCCGAGGGCGATGTCCTCATAGTTAACCCTTTATGACCATATTCATGCCATTTCCCATCTTTGAGCCATAAAATAGAAGAGCTCCAGATTTATCTTATTTTGTTTTATTTTTCTGTTTTTATCTTTTCAATAATTTAAGACTTTACAATAGTTCAACCAGGCTGTATTGCCTTGAAAATAAAGTTGGTGATAGTACTTCTCCTTGAAGGCAACCTCTCAGTGGTTGTATTGTAGACGTTTTATTTCCAAAGTTTTAATTTTATCTTGTGATTAATTAGCATGGTCCTTATCCACTGTATAAGTTGATGGTTATAGTCCATGGTCTTTGTAATTTATATGAATTTGATTATTGATGCTACGTAAAAGAGAAAAAATAAAATATTTATTTCTATTATTATTTGTTTATTAGCATTAACTATTTTAATCGATCCATAAAAATGTTTTTAAGCGCCCCTTCTATATCGATGAATAAAATTAATAAATTATAAAATTCCAGGAAAACAAATCGTCTTGAAGAATCGAGAAACATATTCGACACGATAGTCAACAACCTTGTGTTCCGAGGTGTTTCGATAATTCTTTTCCTAAACAAGACGGACCTGCTCGCCGAGAAGCTCAAATCAGGAGAGACCAACATCAGATGGTACTTCCCAGAGTTCACGGGAGACGAGAAGAAACTGGCTGACGTCCAGGCGTTCCTCCTCGAGTACTTCCGCTCCGCAAAACGCGACCCAGAAAAGAGGCTGTTCTACCATTTCACGACTGCAGTGGACACTGAAAACATTAAAGTCGTATTCAACGCAGTCAAGGACACGATTCTTCATAGAAATCTAGAATCTCTTATGTTACAATGAAATCTCAATTGTTTTTTTCCCTTCTTTTTTCAACAATGTGTTTTGACTTATTAAAAAAAAAGCTTTAATAATTTTTGTTTTGAATCTATTCTATTTTTGTTTTAAGGTACAGTTTTCAATAATATTTACAGTAATATTAGTTTTGACTTAAATTGAATCGTTATGTTTAACTGTTTTGACATCAAAATGTTTATTCACCTGTTGTTTTTTTTTTTTAAATATGCCAAATCTGAAATCTTCCCACATCGTAATTTTCATTTCTGCTAATAAATACGTTTCCCTTCTCAGAAGTGTGCAAAGACTGTAAGACATGAAATAAATCATCGTAATTAAATGTGCCTTAATGGTGAAAGTCTGTGCCTATGGTTGATTATCGGTTGTATTTGTGTCTATGGAAATATAGATACAGAATTTATTTATGTAAATAACCTATGTAAAGTTGTACATATTTAATGGAGAAAAAAATCAGGATACAGTTTGTACAAAATATCTATTATATAAATGAAGAAAATCAATTAAATATTTAGTTTGTATATTTATACATAAAAATAATGTACCTAATATTTTTATATAATATTTTTTTATACTGAGATGTATATATTTGTAATGTTGTATAATTAAAATAAAATTATTTGTAACATCACTCATCTGTAAAATCTAGACTTTTTTCTAAATCTCTTTTCATGTAATGTAAAATTATGCTGAAATTAATTAGTTCTAAAACTCGGTGTTCGATGGGCCAGAACAGCCAAAAACTGGTGTGCCCTCTTGACATTTGCACTGTCTTTGAAGGACAATAACGCAAATTAATGGAGCTCTGTCAGAACAGGCCCCATACACAATCTGGCTGGCCTGTCAGTCATGCTTAAACTACATGTTCACTGTATAGACCCCAAGAGGAAATCTAAAAAAAAAAAAATTGTTTTATTGTATCCATTTTTGTGGCCTATCTATCCCTGACACAACCATTGAATGTGACCAAACTACCGGGCTAACCTCACAGTCTACCGAGAAAAAGTCTCACAAAATTTGTCATAGTTTGTTTACTCCTGGCTACCTATCCATGCTGTTTTGATCTGACATCAGATACGTTTCAAAATTTTGCCATCAAGTTGTACTTTTGATGCCTTGATCCACTTATATCCTGGCAATCGTAAACTACAAGTTCTTCCCATATGCCACCAAAGGAAGTCTCACAAATTTTTTCATAGTTGCCGATCATTCTGATCTACGTTGGTCAGACATGTTTTTTCATTTGCCCAAGTGGTGCATTTCTGTTGGTGCCTCGACCTGCTTATAACCCTAACACAACCACCAGAAACTACAAGTTCTTCCCATAGCCACCAAAGGAAATCATACACAAATTTTTCATAGTTGCCGATCATTCTGATCTGCATTGGTCAGACATGTTTGTGCATTTGCCGAAGTTGTGCATTTATGTTGGTGCCCCGACCTGCTTATAACCCTAACACAACCATCGGAAAGTACAAAAATACATAGAAAATCTAACAAAATTGAGGTCTATAGAATATGTTTCAGAATTTTACCATCTTCAGTGGTGCGTGTGCCTCGGCCTATTTATATGCTTAACAACCATCAAAAACTACAGGTTAACCTATAAAACCTGAGAATAAATTGAACAACATTTTTTCATGGGTTTTTACTTTCCATCATTTTCGTTGGCTTATCCAGATTCAGACTATAAACATAACATTTTTCCATTTTGAGTGGTGGGTTTATGATGGTACCACACCATGCTTATTTATATCCCTGACTGAACACACCACTTAGGATAGCAAATGCAAAAACATGTCTGACCAAATATCGGGAATAGGCAGATCAGAATGATCACAAATTAAGAAAATTTTTGTGAGACTTCCTTTTGGCGGCCTACGGGAAGAACCAGTAGTTTTGTAGTTTCCAATGGTAGTGTCACGGGCATAAGTGGACCGAGACGCCAAATGCACAACTGAAACACGAATGTCAGTACACAACCAAAATAGCAACGATAAGCAGAGCAAAATTACCTGAAACAACTGGTTGACAAACAGGTCAAGAAGAATTTATTCCTAAGGCAGACCCTACCTAGACATTGCACACTACTTTTATTATGACATATTGATCCCAGTTTATCAAGCAATAATATTGATGGCCCATAAGTCCATGCTTTCGCATGAACAAGACCAAATGTTATGTGTTACATATGAAAAATATTCTGCAGTGCAATTTTAAAAAAATCTCTAATTTTTGTTCAATAGTTGTGCATACTTCAATATGGTCAAAAATATTGTGCAATATTATATTATTGATTGTCTAGCCCGCCTAACAGTCGTACAGCTGCTAAAAGCTTTTTTCAATATGATAGTCTGGTTATAAGAAATTTTTTTGGGGAGGATAGGCGACTAACTGCATTTATTGTTATATTTCTTATGCAAGTTTATAACAGTGTTTTAATGATGGACATTTTAAGGAGCTCATCACACTTTTTCCCCAAGGTAAGCACATTCTAATGAGTTGTCTGCCCTGTGATGTACTGAGTGACTGTCGCCGTATCACACTCGACAACAGCAATCCCAATAATAATATTTCACAAAAAGCAGGGTAAATAAAATCAATAGACAAGTTTACATTTTAATATATTTTAATTTATAATGCTGGAATACACAAACACAACATAGCAGTAGTTTTTTTTTTTTTTTCTACAATCGGCTCTGAAGCCATCAACAACTGTCACACTTACAAAGAATATTAAAACGAAAACTGCCGTCTTATTTTTTTTCCAATATTCAATTTTGTGCTGATCAATGTGCTTATTTTTAAGGTTTGTGCCAAAAAAAGGAAGACATGTTGAATTAACCGTCACATATTATACAGAAAACAAACTGTACAACAAAATATAATCAACATCGATACACATTGATATATATAGTATTTTAACATTATATATATATCCAATCAATCTCAGATGTCATCGTAAAATATGACACTCACACGTATGCATGTTAAAAAAAATGAAAGAAAAGAAACAAGGAATGAGTATTTCTTTTAAGCAACCTTCATAAATATCAAATAATATCAACAATGGATTAGATGAAGGTTTAAACCTAATTTTTTTTTTTTGTTGAATAGACCGTGACCTGAGATTGAACTTGTGAAGCCTGAATAAAAATCAATTGTTAAATTTGAGCATTAAATACTGGTTTCTTTGGTCTCCTGAATGCCATGTGAGATTCTAAATGTAAAATTCTGACATTCTGCCAAACTAGCATTCACATCATCAAAATATCAATATACAAATATATTCTATACATGTAAAAGAAAACCTAAATCAAGTTTAGCTCTTTCTAGACCGTACAATAATAAGTTTCAATATTTTCCATAACTATTATAATTTAATTTTTATTAACTAGGCTAACTATTAACGACAAGCAATCACTCTTGACCCATTCAAACTATAATTGTATATTCAAATAATCACAATATTTTGAACCACAAGTGTCAAAATGAAAATGCAGGGACATTGCCTTCGTTGAACGTTAATTATGACAATTTTTATCGGGAAAATTAGCGGGTTTAAGAACTGGGTAAGAAAACATCAAAGTCAAAATATATCATCAAGCATTAAAATTTCACTTTTTAGCACGGATTTGTGAGGGAAAAAATATAAATTCATAACTGACGGCTATAACTAGAATACAACAAACACTTTCTTCTTCTTCTTCTTCTTAATCGTACCTGCATTTTCTTACAATATGTCACACTTTAAAATAGGACAACTAACCACCTATTTTCACTTAAAATGGATTAAGTCTCTCGAAAAAAATCTAAATTCACAGCGAAAAGACAACAAAAGTCAAGAGAATTAACATAGGAGAGAGCTTATATGTTTCATCTAAAGGTTTGATCTCGACAGGGTTTCTTTAAAAATAAATTAGTTTACAAAAAAAAGAAAAAAGAAAAAAAAAGATTGTCAAAAAATCAATAACTAAACTGAACGCCTACAACAACCATTATTAATAATTAATTAATGTCTTTTCATCAATTAAATGACAATCCAAAACAAAAAAGAGACAAAAACTGTCTTTTTTTCTCCTTGTACAAAATTAAAGTTTTGTGATTAACAGTTAAACATTTATAGAATTGTCATGATGAGTGCTACATTTAGAAAATAAAAAGAAATATCATAAACAAGACACAACAATTTTATAATTAATTATAAAAAAAAGAAGCCTAAATCAAAGTGAGGCCAAGGCTGCTAAGTTATGAGATTCTTCGAGAACACTTAAAAAAATAATATTCATTCATATATGTATGTATATATATTTACACACAGAATGGGATTAAAAAAAATCAAAAGCTATCATTTCTCTACAAAGATTTGAACAAATGGTAAGAAAGGTAAAAGAAATAATCTTTTTCCTAAATATTATTGTTTACTTGTTTTTTGGTGTTTTTATTATTTTTTCTTTTATTTTTTTAAATACCATCTGGAACGAAATTAGTCCGCTGGTATATTTAATTAAATATATCTTTAATTTTCTTTGTTTTTTTTACTTTTTTAAATACATATACATATGAAGACATATTTGTACAAAAAATTGTAATTACAAATATCTAGTGTTTAAAGAAAAAAAAGTGTATACATTTATATATATCACAATGATATATTTATATATAATTTATGTCTATAATAATAAGTAATAATAATAATAATGTATAAATCAGCATGGGTGACAAATTGTGATATTTTTTCTTCATTTGTTTTGTTTATTTTCTTCTTTTTTTAAAGTTATCTATTAGAAATATACTTACATTGCTTGATTAATGTAATGTAAATTGACTTTTTTATTTACAAGGTAATAATAACTTTATGAGGTTTGTGGCTGGAGTGTTTTTCATTTAAGAAAGTCGTTAATACGGTGCGAACCTGTTGTAGCCACTTCTATAAACTGCAGCCTGTAAAAAAAGAGATTTAAAAGTTTATTATAAGGTGTGAATTTGTGAAAACCTCTTTCATATACAGCATCTGGGGGGATCCCTAATTATTGTCGAAGACTTTGTGACGTTTAGAGATGGTAATTAATTATATTGAGTTTTTATTCAATTTTTACATTTTGGTAGCCGAGCAGTCTGGACTTTAACGCAAACTAAAAACGTTTCAAACCATCTCAAAAGAAATAGTAAGGATAAACCCCCTTACTACCTTTAAAATGCTAAATTTACAAAAATCTTGGGGTAATTTTTTTTTCCCTAGAGGGTGTTATGTAAAAAAACCTACCCCGTATCCTGCAACTGGACCAATTCCATGGCCGAGGTAAGGATCAGCGTACTCACGGCCATAGCTGAAACAAGAAATTGCGATATATAGTAATTGGTAGACAATTTGAAAAATCGCTAAATAAAGCAATGTGAAAATACAAAATTATGGTTAAAAGAAAAAATGCACAGCTACATAATACAGAAATAGCTTTTTTTGTTATGACTAAATGACAGCAAATATTTTCTAGAGTATGCTTTGTTTAAATAAAAATTAATTTAAATATTTCACTTAAAACTAAATTATATTTTCTATTTATTTTTGACTTATCTTTGAAAAATAATTTTACCATAGAAATGTTAATAAGTATACAAATTAAAAGTTTAAAGTAGACACGTTCATAAAACTTAGCTTCATGCTTTCAATAGGTTGAACTCCCAAAAACTATGTAATCAATTAGTTTTAAAAAATTGAAAAATTCTTTACGATCAAGCCAATAAAAACAAAAAGTTAAGTTTTATAAATACAAAAAAGTAATTAAATTTGAAGTACATTATTCATCTTAGAAATAAAGTATTAAGCTTAAATTCAAATCTGAGGATAAAGCTGCTGGTTTACTACATATCTACAAAAGGAAAGCAATAATGGCTGGAGAGAGGAAAAAAGCAGGTGCTTGCTCGTTCTAATTACCCGGCTACTGCTGCATAGCCTGCCACAGGCTGTGCAGCCGCTGCTGCTGCTCCGTACGCTCTTGCAGCGACCGCAGTATAGGACGCGGCCGCAGCGTAGGAGGCCTGCTGTGCCGCTGTTGACAAAGATCCTGGCGCCTTCAACAAAGGCGATGCGGCTGCTGCTGCCGCTACCTGATTAAAAATCAATCAAAATGCCTTTTAAAAGGATGCACAAAAATAAAAACGGTTTATTTTCAATTCTCACTTTTGTTATCATTACTTTTCAAATGTTCTTTTTTTTTTTTAAATATGAATCAATAAATTATAAGTTTTATTTTGTTGATTAAAAATTAATTTATGTTATAGGCCAAATTTTAAATTATCTTCATACACTATGACACAAACTAGCTAACACTACAAATTTTGTTATCATTCTTCTTGAAATCCAAAGAGTTAACAAAATTATATTAAAAAATGTCCGAAATATGTTCAGTATAAAATCAGTTTTAAAATACATAGGATCTAATAGAAATGTTCTTCATTCTCTATCTATGCTTTACAATATTGTAAAGAGTGCAAACATTTTAGAAATCTATGTCAACTAAAATAGGGTAAGGTCCTGCAACATTACAAATAATAATGGATAAATTCCAAAATAACAAACTTAAAAAAACTGACGGTACTACCGAGAAAAAAAAAGGAATTTGTACTTTGTACACTTACTAAACAGTAGCGCTTATTTTAAGTTAAAAGGAATTCATCCAGAAATTCTCTTTTTTTCGTTAAAGCAGATACACCCAGTTTAACATTTATCTAAAATTCAATTTAGCTAATTTGTTCTAATCAATCTGTTAAATCCTGTTTCCAAAAGTTCATTAGTGAAATTCATAATGTACGATTACAAATAAAAATATATATTGTACAAAACTATGGCATATAATGTGTAAAGCATTCAGAACAAAAACAATGTATTAAATTAACACGTGAAAATTAGTTCTAGTTATAAATAAATAAAAACATAACTACGATTGATATTTTTCGTCTTATTAAATTTCCAAAGTTAAAACTTTATATGAAAAATTAAACTATAAAAACGTTTGCCAAGATTACACCTAGCTAAATTATTTACATATCACACACACAAATTAGGTATGCCACTCGTTCATATCCGGGGCATTGCAAATCAACTAAGTCCAATGAAAACAAAACAAAAAAAATCTAACACAAATTTTCTTTCTTTTCATAATACCTCAGTCGGTGTCCCCCCTGACCCCTGAAACATTTATAATAAAATAATAAAAAACAGTTTAAAAAAGGTTGAAAACAAAAGGGGAAAACATTTCTTTGTCAACTTTAAAAAAAATAAAACGGAAGGAAAAAAATTAAGGGATTTGGGTTTTAAACATGTTCTCGTTCTGCAATATATACCCGGTTTTTCATGCCTGGAAACATGTTAAAGCTTTTTTTTTTTTTTTTTTTTTTTTAATTAAAATCAAATTCACTTACAGGATCCTCTTTCAGTCCTAATGAAATCCCGGGTAGGTTCCCAGCAGCTAGGAGGCCCTGAAAGAAATGCGACCCTTTGAAATTAAACCTCAGTTGAGGGGGGAGACGGTAGTTTAAATAAAGACACCACACTATCTTCGCGTGCCACAATTATATTCAAAAGCCTCAGATGCAATATAAAACGAATAAACACAGATTTGCCCAATTTTACATTCACTTTTCACTAAAAGGTATTTTCGAATATAAAAATTAAATGGCAACATCTTTGAGAACCGTCGTGGTCAAGTGGTTAGGGCATATAACTCATATTTGCCAAGTTTATGGTTATTTAATGAGTTATCTGTTTATTATTTTTTTGTAATCAGCAAAAGCTGAAGGTCGTGGGTTCGAATACCGCTCGTGACACTAATTTTTTCTCAACCGTCTTGGCAGAAAAATTGGAAGTTTATGGTGTAACCCATGGATTTTAAATTAGAAGTAATGTGTAAAACGTATTGCAAAGTACTTGTATTCAATTCTCTCCTCCTTCAATTCTTTTTCCATTCACTAACGCTCTCATTCTACTCTTTTCCACTAACTTTCTCCTCGTTCAACTTTCTTCCACTTACTAATTCTATCCTTCTACTCTCTTCCAATCATTCCATTGACTAACACTACTTCAATTCTCTTTCACTTGCTCACTCTCTCTTCCATCACTCAACACTCTTCCTCTTACTAACTCTCTTCCACTCATTCCACTGACTAACTCTCTCTTCCATCACTCAACACTCTTCCACTCATTAACTCTCTCATTATACTCTTTTCCACTCATTCCATTGACCAACTCTTTCCTTCAACTCTCTTCCACTTGCTCACTCTCTCTTAGACTCATTAACCCTCGCTGTCAATCCCTCAACGCCTGCCTACTTACTACTAAAATTTTCTCATTTGACATTTTAACGCTTACTAGCTCTCTCACTCGCTCACTTTCTCATTCCACTATCACCTTCGATTATCTTCTACTCAACACTCGTCGACTCATTAAACCCCTCCTTCTTCAACACTCTTCCATTTTCTCACTCTCTTCCACTCACTCGACTTTCTCCTTCAACTCTCTTCCACCCACTGGAAATTCATTCAACTCCCTAATTCTCTTTTCCAACCACCAACTTTCACTCCCTTCCCCTCACTGTCTATCACTCGACATCGGTCAAGTCTCTTCCACTTGTTATCCAACTTCAACATAACAAAACTTGAGACATCGTGATGAATTTTTCCTTGTCAGTGGACATCGAAACAAACTGAACTTTTACAAGCTGGCCGCAGCAAAATGCTTGAAGAATGTTATGTAATGTGCCTTTATTGTACTACCAAGACAGATTTTTAGAAATAGGACAAAGTGATTGTGTAAAGGGCCACAAACTTAACAGGGGGTTAAAAGTAAAACGCGGTCAGACATTTGACATCTTTTTTGTTCTTTGTATGTTGTTGCACTCGAACAAAGGGGGAATGGTACTTATTACTCGAATAAGACATTACCATGTTAAAAAAGAACAAAAATATAAGGTGATAATTACCTGGAGCCTGTAATTGCTATCAGAAGCGGCATGTGCAGCTAAAATGGGATCATAGTAGACACCACTGAAACAAACAGGAAACAATTCAAAACTCTTTTTATAAATTTCATTCAGCATCACAATTATAAGTGATTGTTGCTTTTTTTTTTTTTTTTTTGAAAATTGTAAATTCAAATGTCTTTTGTTAAATGTATTTTATTTTATTTTTATATTTTATTAAATTCTATGATGCATTACATATCATTAATCTTTTATTAATTAGAACATTAATTTTGTTTGTGACACTAAATAGCTATTAAAAATAAAATAAAAATTCAAAATAAAAATAAATATAAATCATTCCTTTCATTAATAAATACGTATTACCCCAACACAGAATCAAAGCTGATTTAAAGTCTAGTCCCACAAGGCATCAAATACAATATAGTAATGTGCTTCTACAATATAAATAAACTAAAAGAAAAAAAGTAATGTAATTAAAAACATAAAATATAAAGAACAATTAGTTGATTAATAGTGATTCAAGCGGATCCGTTGCGACCAAGGCAAAATTTCACCACAGCCACATATGTGAACCATGCACTTCAGGCTCATTCAAATGCAACACACAACAGGACATATTTACAAACACAAACCTAATCAATTTCTTTCATTTTAATATTTGGACAGCATTATATATTAACTGTATTGTGAGAATCAATTTCAAAGTGATTACAGGACTCAAAGTGAAATTTGACAACTCAGTTTAAAAAAATGGTGGCATTGGCACATTGTACATTAAAATAAATATAAAATAAAAGAGATAAGAACTGCCAACAGTCATTCAAAACATTCATCAACTCGTCGGAAATGTCTGAAAGGTTTAAAAAGTTACTTAGTGATCCAGTAACACTTCACCGTGTACCACCTCGTTCGGTCGACTCTCGCTCGATTGGTGGGACTCGGCTTGAGTGCACGTCGAGACAATGTTCATATACCCAAAGCCTTGATAAAATGTACAAAAAGTTAGAAACTGATGTTTCAGGCTCGTGGCAAAACACAAAATAAATAAATAATAAATGAAAATAAAAGAGTAAGGAGATAACAATATTCGAATGGTGTATACGGTGTATATAGGCATTACCAATTATTAAGAAAATAATAATAATAATAATAATGAAAAAATAGTAAAGAAAAAAAAAGTGTGGGATAAATTTTATGTAAACACAAAAAATTTATTTCTGATCCTCTCATTAGAATATTGCTGATTTGGACTGTCAAACACATTTCCGCATTTTTTCCACTCTTTCTTCCTCTCTCCCACTACTCTCTTACTTACACTTTCTTTCACTCATCCATTAATGAATATTCACTCTCTCATATTTATTCTCTCTCTCTCTCTCTCTCTCTTTCAAACTCTTTGTTGTTTTTTGTTTCTACTGTTTTTCTTAGTTGTCCTTTTATGTGCTGTAATGTGTATTTTCATAGTTTGCTGTAGTACACAATGTGTGTGTTTGTAAGTCCGTTTTTTTTTTTTTTTTTTTTTTTTTAAACAGATTGTTTTTGGTCAGTGTGTTAATCTTGTTGGAAGTTTTGACAAATTTGTTTCCTATGTACTTCTTTTTTTGGTACTGGCTTTATGGCCGATTTGTTAAATTAAATAGGTCAGTTTATCATACTCTTTTCTTATGTTATTGTGGTCCATTCTGATGTGTCGTATTTGTTTTTGGTATGTTTATTAGTTTATGCCTATGTTGTAGTTGTTTGACATTTTTTGCCATAATTACTAGTACTTTTTCATGGGTAAGTAAGTAGTACAGATTTTTTTAATCTGGCTGTTTTCACCATCTGAAGTATGTGTTCACTGTTTGTCTGATGAGTTCAGATTTCACAAAAGAACATAAACCCACAGCTGAAAAGTTGAATGGTAAAGTTGAAACATGTCTGACAGATCAAAGAAGCGAGGATGATCAGAAATGACAAAGCTTTATTTATCAGTGAGAAATCTTAAAAAAAGAAGAAAAAAAATTGTTATATGAAAACACATTTTCCCTGTTTGTCCTTTGAAGTTTCGTTTTATCTGTTTCTACCAAATCCACATACAAATGTTTTGATAAGATTTTGCAAAATAAATATTATACCTATTAGAGACATCCTGAAACATCAATGCCTAGCGACTCTATAAAATTAAAATGGCCGTTTAAACAGCCAGCGTGTTAAATATAATGTTAATTATTTATTTTTTTGGAAGAGGGGTTGTATTTGAGCTGGCAGCGCCCTCCGTGGGAGTGGACTGGCAAAATTTTGGTTTGTTAAAAAAGTTTGTACTCACGGTGTGTATCCCAAGGCGGTTGCCGCAAGTGGGGAAGGGTGCCTTGCAAATGCCGCCGCAGCCGCTGCTGCCGCCGCTGCCGGAAACGCGGCCCTCGCCCGCCGCTGTATAGCAGCACCTCTCAGCGCCGTAGCTATACAACACTCATACTCTCACTCAACCAAGCACACATAGCAAGTTAACATACCAACTAATAATTTTCATTTGTTTTGGTGGACACGTTCGGTTTAACTGCCATTTGTAGGTGTGTACAAGAGAAAAAAATCATTGTCATGCAATCACATAAAAATGGTTTGATTTTGAAATTCTCCACCACAAAAAATAGACAAAAGTTATACAAGGTATATTAAGGCCAATGCAATTTTAGTCTACAAAGATTAGCACAACACCAGGGCAACACAAATATCTACTGCACTAATAGTTTATATAAGTATATCCCTTTTATATATAAATTTGAGCAAAGAAAAAGGAATGTGGTTGCATTTGGTAATTTACGTCGGTTATTGTTAACTTGCTATTCACGTGCCACAATTGTTTAAAAACTGTGTAAAAAATTGAAAAAAATAAATTGCACAAATAAGATATTTTTTGTTGTTTCTATTGAGAGCATGTTCCATTTAATGACATGCGTAATCAAGTAAAAAACACACAAATTATGTAAACTGTACATCATACACAATTATGCAACACATAGTCAACTCTGCTAAAAAATAAAAATAAAAACACTGTAGTTATTTTAAAAATAAAAATTGCCAATACTATGTAGTAAGTACTAATATCTAAATGACCCTTAAAAACCCTGGCATGGCCAAGATATAGAAAAGAAAAAACAAAATTGTGCTGTTCCCCCATGCAAAACAAACTGGACGGCTAAAAATAAGAAACCAGCAAAAACAAAACAAAATAAAAAAAAAACAATCGGTACTGCAGATTTATTTCCCGAAGAAAAAAAAGAAGACGTTATACAAAAATTCGTATAAAGTTAGGAGACCGACATCTTTTTTAGCTTTTTCTTACCATATCCATTTCAGCATAAATTAAAATAATAAATTTCGTGGACACCAGAAAAAAAGAAATAATATATTATCCATACTAAAATATGGAGCGTATATGAGGCAAAAGGATGATAAGCAAATTATTAAACATATAATGATAAATATGAATGTAGTAGCATCATTTAGGAGTTACCAAAACACAATAATTTCCTCTGTAGCCATTTATATCAAAATTTAAAAAAAAAAAAATTCCCTCAGGACAAAGTATTTTATAATAGGCTGTATAATTCAACTTTCCCACATGGTTTACAAATTCATAATCTAAACAAAACTGTTAGTTTTCCAATCCAATATATTGTTATGAGGGTATTGGTAAGAAAATCGTGCGAGTGCAAGACTCGGAGGGTACGGTAAATAAAGAAAATGATAATTACATGGGAGCAAAACATGAAAGAAAAGTCGAGGTACCTTCGCTTCGCACGGCATAGTGCTGCCAACCAAGGCCATGTCACCGCCAGTCTGTACCCTGCCAAATCATTTATTTTCGTTCATGTGAGATGCCTTTTATGTGTGGACTTTTTTCTTATTCATTTGAAAGGGGCCAACCTAGTTGATGTTGATATAAATAAAATTAAGACAGCCCTTGTAAAGAAATGGTTTTGAAAATAATAAAAATAGAAAAATAGGCTAAAAATTTAATATGAAATAATTTGCTTTTTTTGGATTTAAGCTCAATTTTTTGATGAGAACATTCATTTAGATAATAAAATTAGCCTTGATCAAGCAGAATGTTTATTTGCTTAATTCAGACACATTTTTTAACCATTGTAATCAATTTTGGCTAACCTATGAACCTTCACACATAACGTTAAATGTAAATAATATTCAACAAACAACTCCTAAGCCCAGAGTCAAATAAATGTACTCTTGTCTACAAAAGTAAGCAATTTACAGAAATTTCTGAAACCTGCTGCTTTTAAAGATATTTTTTCTTTTATGTTGCTTTTAATATTCTCTTTTCAAACTTTCAAAGAATCAGAAACGCGTGTAATTATTACACTCCATAGTGTATTCTATATTGACTACGGTATATTCACACATCATATTCATGCATGTCCCATTATTTAGCGGAGGTAAATTCCTCAAGATTACTGAGAAAATATTTTTTTTTTTTTTTTTTTTTTTTGTAATGCTCTCCTTCCATGCTCATCATGAGTGAGAGGAAATTTTAATTTTTATACTCTTTTTTTTTAAAATAAGGACGAAATACAAAAGTTAGTCCGTGTGTGGCCTGCTTAGCACAAAAAATGTATCCACAAAAAGCTTGCAGCAGGGCACTAGAACTATTACAGCAACAAGTGGTTTAAGTAACCAAAACCCAATTAGTCTTAAAAAGATGCCACAAATATTAAATTTCACCATTTTGTTCTAATATCTTCTGACTCATGCCAGGCTATTTAGTCGGTAAGCGTGTTGCATGCATGTGTATTAATATAAGTTTGTAATTGAAATAAATATTTATATAGTTGTTGTACAGGAAAAGCTAAGTTCAATCAATTTTTCGACATACCTTCGGGCCATTGTAGACATACAGCTGAAACAAAATAATTACCAGCATTGCAATTAATGTTGTTTATGTAAAAAAAAGTCTTGGTAGGGAATCATAACATATTTGCCTTATTTAAACATAAATAAGTTTAAAAAAAGATAAAAACTATGTAATTTAAATGTCAAAAAATAAACAAGTGGAAAAATTGGTAATAAGAGAGATAAAAAAGTGCAAAACTAATTCTTAAGTGCAAAAAGCTACTTAAACAAATACTCTACTGCAATTATAATATATTTCTTTCTTTCTTTTTTTTAAATGAAAAGATAAATTTTCTAAATAATAATAATAACTAATATCACAGAAGCTTTAGAAAAGCTACGGATGGTAAGAGTAAATTTATTGATGTTTTGAGAGCTCACCGAGATTAGGCAGGCTCCCGGTCCTAGTGAGAAATACTAAAATACAGAAATGCCTTGTAAACTTAGGGCATTCAATATTTTTTACTGCTAACAACATATCTAGCATTTAAAAAGAAAAGTAAAAGTACCAAGACAAACACTTAAGTAACGCTTTGCTAGGGTCGTTTTTTTCCACAAGCACTCTCCTAGACATAAATCTAAATCTTACTCTATTTTATATGAAGACTTCTTTAAACTACAAATTTCATTTTTTTTTTAATTTAAAATAAAAGATCAAGGCCATTTTTTACTGGTGCTCTATATTGGCTGAAAATAAATTCTAAATTATTTAAAAAAAATAATAAGTTTATTAAAGTGTATGTATATAAAACATATTGAAGTTAAAAGATGGCAAAATTGGAAAGTGCTTAAGAAAAATTAAGAAATCAAATAAGCCGTACAAGGATTTTAAAAGTACCAATTCATCAAGCAAGGCATCTGCACTAAGTTAAGGTACTGAAAATTAGAAATGAAATGATCATTTTTTTACAGTTTTTAAAATTCGAATTTATTGCTGTTAAAACTAAAATAAAACGAACTATCCTTGGTGACTTGGTACATCACACTTGTAACCGAATAGAAAGCAAAATCTACAAGAAATTTATGGTTTCACAAGAATCGGATAGCACGTGCGGCCATATTCAATTGGGGGAAAACATATAAAAATATGGCAGGTTATTTGTCAAAATGGCACATCAGAAATCTGTCTGGCCCATTTAAGAAATAGCCTGACTTTGGTATTTAAAAAATAAATAAATAAAATAATAAGATATATACACATTGAAAGGGACGAAAATAATTTCAACAGAGAGTAAAAAATTAAATCTGATATTTGAGTTTAAATTTGAAAAAAAAAAATATACAGAGGATCTTGTAAGTTTTAGAAATGGAGCAGGACAAAACATTCAAACGCATTCACAAGTTGTTAAACTAGGGCTGACGTGCAATCTACATTAGTATAAAAAAGGAATAAAAGGCCCTAAGCGTTAAATTACAGTTTTTTAAACACTTATCTGGTCGCTCTTAACCACAGTGTACATTCATTGCAATTGGAAGAATCGCATTATACAACTTGCAGATTTGTTAAAAAAAAATGTATATATACATAAATAAGCACTTTGTACAAATTGTATGTGTTAATCTATAATGCTTTGCATGTCAGAGAGAAAGAAAATAGTAAAACTTACTAATGAACTGTGTGATTTTACAAAGCCAATCCAAATATTAACTATATTTTAAAACATAAAAAACTTAATACCATGAAAGATATAATATACTAAAGGTAATATGGCAAAAGTGTTTGTCATATAAGCAGGTCTTATTCTCAAGTTGAAGGAGTGGAAAATCAAAGCAGTCGAAACACAAGGTAGAGAGAGATGAGTGAAGTCCACAGAACAGGAAAAGTGGACAGACCAGGAGAGTCAACTGACATCGAGTCCCAAGACTATGATGAGCTGACCAGAAAGAGTGGATAGATGAGAGTCAACTTATGACAAGTAGAGACCTGAGGCTAGGAAAGTCCACATAGAAGAGTCAAAGAGAGATAATTAAAAGTAAGAGGGGGTAAAGCATGTGGAGGCTGGGTGGGCATAGCAAATGTTGTCTTGGTATATGCCTATTGTTAATAAATTTATTGGGAGGAAATTCCACTAATCTAATTGAGGAGGAGTTGAGACCGGGAAGACTATTGCCAAGCAGTCCTAGATTAGAGAACAGGAAAGGCAGAAAGAGGCTGGATTGGCGAATGTTGTCTTGGGACTATGTAAATCCGAAGTCAGGAAAGTAAATACACTAAATATTGCTTGCTTCACTTATGTAGATCATCCACACTGTTTATAGAACGATCATCAAAAAAGACATTTAGTAAGTATTAGTTATTTTGACTAAGATCATTCCGTTCAAGCCTAAGACCATTATAATAAAACACTTACAGATAGTTTTGATAATTTTGTAAAATTGAATGGATCGGCCTTGTAAAAAAAGCATGTACATTAAATGAATCTGTCTAGTGTTATAAATTGGTAATTAAAAATAATTAAAGATTTAAAAAAACCTTGAAAAATAAGCATTTCTTGTAGATAAATGACAAAATCAACTCACCACCATTAGGTATCGTCGGCGGCTTCTTAGTTTGTACTCTAGCTGTTGCGTTGTTGACCTGTTTTTTTTTTGAGGGGAAAAACAGAAAACATGTTGAGACATTCGATCTAGATAGTGTGAGTAAAAAACCCTAACTAATTTATACTTAATTTTAAAATTTAAGGTAATTTGTATTTATTAAGTAATTTAAAAAAGTTTAGTAAGAAGTTAACTAAAATTTGTAGAAAAAAATTGTAAAAGTTACTTTGAAATTTGTTTTGTGAAAACAGAAAATGGAATAAACTAAAATTTTAAATTTGAAGATTTGCAATTAATGCAGTAAAAACATTATTCAAAATGAATCAGAGATTCAAAATATTGAGTTTTATCTAACCTTGTGAAAAAATAATAAAACAAACTAACTTAAATTTACTTATATTCTAGATGCTTAGGTTAAATTTGAAACCTTGATTTGTATTTATTATAGTACACTAAAAAAAACTTAATTATCTCAAATTTGAAAAAAAAAAAGGTAATTTGTTTTGTGAAAAATATGTTAATTTGACCATGTAAAAAAACAAAATTAAATTTACTTATAATCTATGACTTAATTTTCAATTTGAGGTAGATTTGTATTTATAATAGCAAATTTTAAAAAAAGGTCAATTATCTTGAAAAACAAAAATTACTTTAAAGTTGGTTTTGTGAAACAAATGAAAGTTAACTCATTAAAAAATTGAAGAAAATAGAAAAAGCTTTAATTTATGAATTAAACTTACCTCAGATAAAATTGGCCAAAGACTTAAGGTCAGTATAGCCAACACTCCTATTTGCAGACAAAAGCTCAGTCAACAAAGTAATGTCATATTCTGTTTAAGCAGGATCCTATAAAAGTTATTATACTGAAGTTTAAATCTTTTTAGCCCAAGTCCTCAAAGAATTTAGGAAAGGGGGGAATAAAAAAAGCCCTTATTTGACATTGCTTTGTTGAATGCGGCACCTTTTCATCACTTTTTTTTAGAAACACTCACTATGTGGTCGCAAATGTAACTGCTTCAACAAAGACAATATTTGGAAGCAATCGTAATCGTTTACTGAAAGTTTGTTACTGGGAAAGAAGGTAAAAAGCGGCAACACAAGATTGCAACTGTAACAATTAGGTTTCACTTACATTCATTCAGTTGTGAACATTAAAACTATGCACATTTATTATGGAATCAATATTCTAAAACTAATCAAGCAATCCTCATTCTCAAGGCATGTAAAACTACTGTTCTATTTTAAAATAGCTGATTTTTTTAAATATTTATTAAAAAATGTTAATTTTTATGCTAGTAGCAAAGAATAGTTTTGTATCGATTAACTCGACATTTAGATACATATTTTTATATGAACGTATAACGGAATAATGGTTAAAAAAAAAAGTTAATTAACGTTAGGTTTATATGGCTAGACAAGACAAAAATTATTTATGTATTCTTTGCCTGTTTTAATACCAGTTACTTTTAAAATAGTACTAAAAATACAACAAAACGCAATATGTAGTTTATATACATTAAAGAGCTTGCTTTTATTTTAATATTTTTGTAAAGTTAATAAAGTATATGAAAAAATACAGTAAATTAAAATAAAATAAAATTTCAATATACAAAATCATGCTCTTTGTTAATGAGCCAGAGATTACACATAAGCGCCACAAAGCGAGAGTTTGTAGTGGTGTCGTGCTTTGTCAGGTTCATAGAGGAATTGTTACAAAGGTATAAATGTACTTATGTTATGTGCTACCAGATGATGTAACGGTTCATGCACACCTCAATCTTTCTTCCCTCAACCACTGTGCCATGGAGTCTCTCACGTGCGGTGTCTGCATCGTTGCTATTTGCGAAAGTTACAAAACCGAATCCCTACATGCAACACAGACAAAACATGCAATGTAAACAACTGCATTTTCTATAGATATTAAATAATAAAAAATATTCTCCTTCATATTGTATATATGTTTTTTTTTTTTTTAATTTTAATTTTGCAAGGGAGGCCAACGTGCAACAAATAGGTCATCCCTTTAAAAAAAAGAAAAAAAGAAAAAGAAAGAACAAAAATTGCACTTTCAATTGTTTCAATTTTTACAGGAATCACTCAGCAAGGTTTTGTAAAAATATATAACTATCAAATTTTCATTTTTCACTTGGCCAGCCATGTTACAAAAAAGAGGCCAAAAGCAACATATATCTGTTTGGTGTATATTCGTATATTTTAATTTGATTATTATATGATATTAGATAATTTAGGTTGATCGCAATTAATCTTGATCTTAAATATATAAAGAAACCCAGCGCCTATGAAAAGCGCATTTGGCTCGACTTTCTAAGAGGAAACTTTTGTATCAAAAAACAAAATAAAACTCACTCTTACAAAGGTCATAAATAAGATATAACTACAAAACGATTTTTAAACGAGTGCAGCAAAATATTAATCGTCATGCATTAATTTATAAATTCTAAACAAAAATAATTATAATTATTAATTTTCGTAAATAATCAATCTAATCAACTCAAAAAGAAAAAGTGTATTACAATAATAACAGTTATATATCTAAAAATATATATATATAAAGGCTTTCATAAATAAGTAAAAATTAGAGACATTTTATAATATAAAACATAAACTAAATGACGAACTGGCAGGGCCCACAGCTACTTAAATGTCAGTTGAAAACAAACCACTGCGAGCCATAGTGGAAGCAGCCAGATACTGTACAAACTTAAAAAAACAAAAACATATTCTACAGTGCGGAGTGAGTCACGGGTTTCAGAGCGACGGAACCGGTGGCTACGAGGGTTTCGGGACCTCAATACACATTCAACTCCTGAGTTACACCACTGTACTTAAAAACATTAAATACTGCTAGGTGAGGCTAACTACAAACAAATGTGGGGAACAAATATTGAGAGGGGAATTTTTTTATAGTCTTGTCTTGGCATAGCTAGATTACAAATTTATTAGTTTTACGAAGGAGCTTTCAGAAAGTTTTGGCATAAACCTGCCTCATTTTTGCTTGACAGGTCCTGGGAGGAGTATGAATCATTGCACCATATAAAAATTCCAATTTAAATCAGCAAAAAAGACTTATAAAGATGAAATTTAAACCTGTGCATCCTTGTTAACAAGCTTTTATAAATTTGGAAAATAACTTTATTCCTTTCAAACATTCTCAACATCAAAATAAAAAGGGTTTACATAAAAAAAATCTACAAAATTAAAACAATCCATACACCAACATATAACACTGGAATACAATAATATCCGGCCAATTTTCATAAAAATCCTTTCATTATTACTATCGAAGAGACATTTCCATTTTGTCTCTCAATAAAACTGGAAAGTTTTGCACTCTGATCATTTTATCCAAAAGAATGGCAAAAATATGCGACTCATTTTTTTTAATCCGGCCTCAAAATCACCGTTCATACCTGTAATTTGGTACCTGGAGCCTCCACAGAATAGTCAAAGAAACTGTGTGGCCTAGTCAACACAATTCCATACCATTAGAACGTTTAGAAAATTAATTTGATTAAATATTAGGTGTATACATAAGTTTTTCAAATTTCAATTTTCACCCTTGCAAAAGCGATCCTTTACTACCTGCTAGGTCTGTTAGCTCTAGGGTGGGAAAAGCAAGATTCAAAGAGATTGTTAAGAAAGGGGCAGTTCATCCCCAAAGCCGGTCTAGAATAAATTGTGATGAGTACAACATGAAAGCAGATGAAATTCATTTCAGGCATTGCTTGTAACAAGAGTTTGACGACAGGCAAAAAACGGCAGATGCCTCTTGAAATTTATGTGGATTATAATAATTATGTGGGTCAACATTGGTTCTGATGCTTTCATAATGGAGACCAGCCCACACCAATGCCTAACAAGCTTATAAGCAACGACTTATTAGAGGCATTGAAGGATGAGAACAAATTAACTGCAGAGCTATCAGAGATATTTCAGGTATATTGAGTTCCCCATGATTGTCCCTCAGGAACAAGAAAGACCACGAATAAGAAGGGTTTATTTCCTATTTGATCACTGGGGTTGAGAAGTGGTCCTTTACAAAAATGTTAAACACCGAGGGACTGTTTGCAAGAACGATGTCAAGAGCATGACTGCACTCTCGTATGGTCCTATTGTCCTGTTGATATTTGAGGAATAATTTATTGGGTACTGTTACCGGACAAACCCTTGGCAGAGGTATACGGTGCGTAATTAGAGCACCTTGGTCAGTGTTGAAGGAAAAACGTCCAGTTCTGGTGAATAGACACAGTGCCGTGTTTTACCATGACACAGCTATGCACAGAGGGTAAAATCGGACAGTTAGTCTGGCAACAAATGTCCCACCCTCTACTCTCTCACCACCTTCCAATTTTTGCTTACATTCCTTAAAGAACCATTTAAAACTTAGGGAATTATTGAACGAAAATACTCTGGAAATCGGACTGATTTCTTCTTGTGTAAGTCATAATACTTTTTACATAAAGGAGATATTTCTGCGTTTTGTTACTAGAACTTTGGCATGTTGTAATAAACAAAGTAAATTATGTCTTGGATTAAAAATAAAATACATATATATTTTTAAAGTGCCTTTTTTTTGTATTAAAACTGAAAAAACTTATGCACAAACCCAATATTTCTTGGTAAAATATAAATAAAATAAAAATATTAAAATCATAAATTAGCTGTTTTTATATTGTTGGCAACTACTTTTTTTAAGCTGTCATAGTAAAATTAGGCCAAATGTTTCGTGAAATAAAAAGTATCCAGCCAAAGAAATATTTAAAAATCCAATTGCTAGATGAAAATTTCTTTGATGACTCCAATAGTTTAAAATATTTGAGATTAAGAAGGAGATCGACCCACACAATCTAGTCAGCAAAATTTTATAAAAACAATTTCTGAACAGATAATTTTTTTTCCTTGAAAATTTCTATAATTAACTGAATCTTCTATCATTTGCATCACCTCCAAACAATAAAAAGTAAAACTTTTTGAATGCTCCAAAACAACAGTTGTCACAATTCAGATAATGTAATAGAATCAATCAGCCTCCAGCATTGCCCTGTCATGCCGATAGCAAAACAGGCTACGTATACTTGACTGAGTTATTTTTATTAAACACTATATTCTCAGGCACTACTGAGAAGTGTCCTTAAAAAAACAAAACAAAAAATACACTCAGGCTCCTCTACACTAAGCAGTGAATAATAAAAGCTACGAGGTAGTCTTGCCTCGTTTCTATATGTACATCACTTGTATAAAGCCAGACAAGCTCAGCGTCCAAAAGTGGAAATCACCCCGTATAAGAAAGGCCTGCAGTAGGTATTCAAATACAGCACAACAATCTGAACATATTGTGTCTATGAGCTTCTAAAACGAGACAATTTTTCAATAGATAGCTCTACTGCTATCTGTCATCTACTCTACTGCAGATTAGTCATTTCTTTGTATTCACTATCATGCAGAATTAATTTAACATTTGTGTTAGAAATTTTTTTATTTTGAACAAAAACATTTCATTGCATCACTGTGTACCACACAGAAATAAAAAGCCCCCCAAATTCATGCGAAATTTACTGTGCACAAATTGACACATTTGAAAGACAAAAAAACAACTAAAATATTAATTTATAAAAATATTGCCAATGTACATAAAGGCGCTGAAAAAAAAAATTATAATAAAGCAGCAACATTTAAGCACATAATTTCATTTAAAAGAAAAATAATAAAATAAAACCATTAGTTTGATGACTACCAATTGCCATGAGCAAATTGCTCTTTTAATAATGGCGGAGATAGATGAAAACAACCCAAGAATTTAAAAAAAAAAAAAAATGATAAAGAAAACTGCAAAATATAAAGGAGAAACATACTGATGCTTGTCTGACTTTTTCACATAATGCTGCAAGTTATTACCACAAATAAAAATAAAGAAAACAAATAACTGATGGTCAAACACAATCTGAAGACAGTATAAACAGATAGGTAGAGATAGAGATAGATATAGATAGATAGAGAGAGATAAATCGCTGCATGCTCTGCTGTGACTACGCAGTACCTGGCACAGTATCAAGGAACCATCAGTGGCGACACTACACCAGAGATATCCATCCCACTTAACTAAGAGGTCTAGTAGTATTGGAATTTGAAAAGCGAAATTAATTCTAAGCTATGTTATTTTTGTTTTATAATTTCTTTTTTTTCTTCTTCTTCTAGGATCAGTCAAAATAAACAATAAACAAAGGAAGAAAATCACATGCAACTGCCCGTGGTTTTTATGTTGCAAATCCTCTTTTGAGGCTGCCTTTTTATAACATGCACGGACATGTAAGCTTTAAATTTTTTTTCTCTTTTTAATAAATAAAACCCAAGGTATTTTCCAGTTGTACTGACTCAAATTAATGGTCACCAGCCATTCGGAGTGCATTAAAAGCTTTTAAAATGAATGATATGCTCAGCCTGTAAATGTCCAGTTATGTAAAAGAGTTTAAAGAAGATTCTACATTGATTATGGCAATTCTTTCCCTACACAAATAATGATTGAAATGTTGATCATTATTGTTGTGTAGTCGGATGTTCGTTAACGGGCAGGTCCCGCCTATTAAAACAAGAAATGACATGCTCCACACAAAGTGAATTCCAAAATGATTGAATATTCAATCACCTACTGCGCAGGCTATTAGGTTAATTATTTATTTACAGTGTGTAATAATAATTAATCAAGGACACTGATGCATTATAGCTGTAATATTAAGTGGTTTATGCGAGAGAAAATAAAAATAAAATAAAAAATATTGCCTTTGGTGGTGTATCTTTGTACAGTATGCAACCAACAATAGCGGCTAAAAGAATTCTGATTCATCATGGTGCCACAGACAAATGTATCAAATGCACAAACAGAATCGGACATGAATGTGTGAAACGTTCGTACACTCTTTCCTGCTTTTGGGGACTGATCCGAGACTATTCACTAACAGTTCCAGCGATTGGCAACGATCCGTGTCTAAAAATAAAAATTATGTGGGAAGTGAATGCTTGAGAGAGAAACAATCAAACAAAAATTTTTTTCAGGGGAGGGGGAATAAGTGCTAAAACTCAAATTCTCCTTCCAACAACTTTTTCATTAACAAAGGGTCAATGTCTTTTGAAGGTCAGATTAATGATCATTCACCGGAAAGATTATCATTTTGTTACGAAACCGTGAACTCATCCTCTTTCTGCTTTTAACTGCCCCATTAAAAGATAAGGAAAAATTCTCTCTCTCTAAGTACCAAACCGGCGGATAAAACAAATGTAATAAATTGTGTGGCACGATTAATAAAAAGCAACAAAAAAACATACATAAATGACAGAAATGATCAATCCAAATAAGAATAATATTATAATTATAAATAATAGTAATAAAACTATATTTTGATTATCAATATTCATAAATTGGAGTTGTCTATTTGGAGATGTATAGCTTCATTTGGTATACATATATAAAAATACATGTTCGTTGAATATATCATTGCTGTTGGCAACCTGGATTATTCTTAGATCATAAATGTAACGATGACTACAAAACATGAACACTAAATATTGTGTGTTCTTGCAAAACAAAATTGCTAATGTCTAATTTTTATTCTTTTAACATGTTGACTGCGTAAGATGCAAAAGGTGCCATGCCTTCTGGGTGCGGTGCATGCAGTCTGCGTTCTCCCACTTATATTTTTAAAATCTAACTTCATCCGTTACACAATTCTGTTCAGAATTCCTAGAACTTTCTCAGAAAGGGAAAAAGTGTCACAGACTACAATCGTTTCAATTTTTTTTTTTTAAATACACTTGATTTTTAAATCTATTTTGTGAAAACAACGTAATCTTCTTTTCTGTTTGGTTATTTTAATTAATTTTTACCCATTACATAAAATAAAGGAAAAATTATTGTAGAAAGTGGAAACGACTTATCACTGAACTACAAATCCAAATTGAACAAACGTGCTGCGGTAGATGCAATTGTTGCATCGTTTAATTTATATCACTCAGTTAATTGCGATAAAAATTAGAAATCATTTACATTGTTTTTTAAGTACCAGAGAGCTATTCTATGTGGTTAATTGGGTTCCACCATGGGCAACCAAAATGGCCTAACACTTTAGTCAACGCAGTCAACGTGTTAAAAGAATCCAAGCACGACTTTCAATTTTTATTCACTGCTAGAAATTGTTAACAAATAATAATAATAATAATAATAATAATAATAATAATAACAACAACAAGTAACTTTACCATGAAATATTTCTATTGACATAGATGACAGTGCAGGTTTTCAGTGAACTTCATAAGCTGAGAATTAAATGAAATTATTCTAATAGTACAATTGGAATTTTTAAGAGAAAATATTAGAGACATTGAATTCTTCCAGTTTGTTTGACTGAGATAAGACTCGACCTGATTGATAATAAAAAATCAGATTTTTTTTATTGATGGTCAATGATTAGTAATGTTCAGTGTTAGCCTAAATTAAAATTATTTATTAAAGTTCGACGTAAGTATATCCATACAAAATACACGCCCTTTTTCTGAAAGAAAGAATACCAAAAGATATTTTTCAACTAACTTATAACAACTTTGAGTGTCTTAAAAAGCTACATAAAAGAAAATCTATACAATTAAAAAGGGAAAAACCATTTGTTACAACGATATTGGCAACTCGAAGATTTTAATGATTAATCTTTCACAGAAAATTGTTCAAAGAACCTGCCTTTGAAAATGGTAACAAAAACAAGTTGTTGATGAGAGAGAATTCGTTATAATATGAGGGTGCCTAAAATAAAATGTTACAGAATAAAATTGCATCATTAAAAGTAAACCAATATGAGTTTACAGTTATTTTTATGTTGGCTGTTTGACAGCCCTTTTACATAATGGCAATGGTTTAAAAACAAAACAAAACTAACACAAAAAAGATTTATAAAACTTATTTACCTTTGATCCTCGTTCATTGAAGATTATTTCTACATCCAATATAACACCAAATTGCTGTGGGCAAAATTTGTATTAATAATTAAAAAATGGACTATTAAAGAGATAAGTTTGCAATTTTTTAATGCAAATTCTTAATTGACTTACTCCAAACATGGCTCTGAGATCTGGTTCCCGGAATCTGAAGGGAATGTTGGAGACGTGGAGCCTTTTAGCTTGCGTTCCGACTACTTGTCCCGGTGGTTTGGGCTCGACCGGCCCGACTAGTGCAGAGCAGGAGTTGGACGCCGGTACTGTCACACTGCCGCTCTTCCCAGTTGATCCTGCCGTCGCCGCTGAATCACCGTCACCTTCGCTCACCTGAAACACAGATTATTGGTGAAAAAGGGGGCCAATTTTTAACTAAACATCACCACAAAAAAAAAGCAGAACTACAAAGCTACAAATCTACGCTTCACGGTCGTGTGCTGTTTCGCACAAGGTAGTGAATTTTGGCATTTCGGCTTCAGCAGAAAAGCAACATTGCAGTCTATTAAGCGTTAAAGAAAATCTTAAGACAATCTCAAGTATTAAATACTAGCGAGTACGCTACAAGACGCTCAATTAAAGTTAAATTTTAATTCTTAATTAAAGAAATTTATAAGGTATGAATGTTAATCACATTAATTAAAATAAATTAATTAAAACACCATATAAACCAACAGATAGGTCAGGATAAGCAAAACATATAAACAAAAAAGGTGCAATCAATTTTTTGTTAAATAAATACAGAGAGAAAGAGAGAAATTTGAAGAAAAATATCACACTGATAAAAAAAATTGATTATATAGATCAACAAAAATACAATTAAGTTTGCCTTCACAAAAACTTAAAGCATACAAAGGGAAACACAAGACAGCAATGATTTTATTGGATTACAAGGAGGGAGTTGAGGAAAAACCGGATAATTGGATTTCATTGAAACCAACATCCTTGTCATAAAGTATTACAATTTATTAAGTTGCTAATAATGGGGGAATTTGTTTTTTTCTCATTAGGTTCAGATAACTTAGCGAAGTTGTTAGCACAATGCCCCGCATTACAAACTCTGATGACCAAACGTTCTGATTTAAAACAATAAAAAAGGAAAAGGACTTTGCTTAATTTAATATAAGATTCAGATAAATAAATGCCTTACTAATTATACTTGAACTATTTTAATTAAATTTCAAGATGTCCTGGCAGGAAAATGAACCATTGGCAAGCCTTTTTATACAAGAAAATAATGAGGCTGAATGTACTTTTAAAACAAATTATCAAAGGAAAAACCTCAATTAACATAACAGAATCGAGTACTCAATTTTTATAAATCGTACCCCTTTTTTTATGTCGATTTCCCCCCCATCAATTTACCACCGTTTTTCACACTTATCTGATGTGACGTTTCTCTCTCTCTCTACCTCTGTACTCAATTTCTTGCTCCAATATGGATTATCGTAATAATTATATTTAGTAAAACATTTAACAAACGTAGAACAAACACTACCTTGCGGAAAGCCTGATGATTGCACAAATACATGGAAGAACCTTCGGATTGAAGAATGTTTAATTTTTCATCTTTTATCTCGACCTACAACCCAAAAGAACTCTATTACATAAAAAGGAAATTTATTTGAAGTTAGATTTGACTCTAAATAAACAAAAGGTGCTGGCAGATTGAAAAATAAATGACAAAGCCTTTCTCAGAAGCTAATTTTATTTATAAATAACAGTTTGAACTCGGCGTTTACGCTGTAAGGATCCGACATTCAATAATTTGTTTGTGTTCCATACTATTACATCAAATACAAAGCCTAAAACATTTATTTAATAACAGTTAAACGTGGATTTCAATATTTTGGGCCTGTTATGAAGAATTATAGGATCGGAGAATGAAGGACGTGTAACAGACAATTTGTCTAAATAGGAATTAACAATACTGAATGCGAGTTCCCCAATTGAAAACAGGGGTGAAGAGGAACTATCTCGTTAACTGATAGAAAGTCCAGAACAGCGCAGTTAAATTATCTTCAACAAAATCCAATTTAAAACCATTTTTGTTAAATTGAAATAACGTAATTTTCCATTAATTTTTCTAATGTAGGGTAGAAGTACTGTATATATAGGGTGTTCGGCTACTCGTGTTACAAACTTTGCCAGTATATTCTACATTCAAAATGGAACCAAAAAGGTCCTAATTAACTATGGTCTGAATCTCAACAATTTTGGAGTTATTTCATTTTTTCTGATTTTTTAAGAACTCACGACCTTGCTTCAAATAAACAATGGTAACTCCAAAACTAAAAGGTTTTATTCAAATCCATTTGTTGAGACCATTGGGAATTACGTTAAATATCCAATGAGATGTGATCAATACTAAACTTGTAAACATTGAAATAAGCGTTTTAGTAGCGAGAACTTCGATTTTTTTTTTTTGTAAGTTGAAACTCTTACAATGGTGATTCTAAAATACTATTTCCAAACCTAGAGTTCACCAAATTTCAGAAAACGTACTCCATCTAATATCCTTTTTAGTGGTGTAATTTCTTTTTTAATTACTCTGTTCAAAGATGAAGAAATAGATGGAGGAAAGGAAAAAACCATGGCTGACAGATTGGTAAGGACTTGTTGGTTCCATTTTTGAATGTAGAATCTACTGGAAAAGTTTGTAACACAAGTAGCTGAACACCCTGTATATAGTAAATTCATTCACAAGCATAATTATAGAAATTACAATTTTCAGTTAACAAAAAGATAAATAAATGAAATGAAATAGTTTGATTTTGATCTATCATAATAGTCAATTGTCAATCATTCTAAAAGCCTAAATCTTTCTTTGATGCATAAAGAAGCTATATTGTCCATAAGTAGGTAAAAAAGAGACTCTTTCATTACTCAAAATTCCCATCAGAAAAGCTTAAAAGCAGTGACCTTAACTTAGCTTTCATCCGCAGTTTTTCAAAGAGGGACTAGGGTTTATCATCAAAGTTTTTCAGTATTTTTATACTTTGTGTCTGAAGGCCTTCCAACTTAGTGGAGGGAATGGCTTTCCAAATAGACGGTTCTGTGAAGGTCAGTTCAAATAGTCAGTGATTTAAGACAAAAAAACTATCCAATTACAAGATTTTTAAGACCGAGCTTTTATCACTTTTCATGACTTGCCTCTGGTTTTTAACTTAAAACTGGCCTTTACTTACCGACTCAGCAATAATGCAGACAGTACAATGGCCATAGTGTACAAAATATTTTAAATCATTTATTGCAGTGCAAAATTCTTGAAAATAAACTATGTCCTAGGATATTCATAAACAATTTAAATTTTTTTTTTTTAATTATGGACGACAGAAATCAACAGATTTCTAGACATATATCGCAATTTAGGGTCAGAACATGAAAACTGTTGGCAGTGGTTCAACTCAACTGGCTCTGCTCACAAACTAACAATTCAAAAATTAACATCCAAAGACAAAACTGAACGAAACAAAAAAAATCTTTGTACAGCTTATAATTTAATATGCCATATTTATATAATTCAAGAGTATTTAACCCTCCCCTGTTCAAAAATGCTTAGAATTAAAAATTAAACCAATTCAGCTTAGGTTTATAAATTGTCCTCAAATCATTACTTCTAGTTTTGTTTTAAATAGCACAAAATTTTAAAATGGAATTAATGCTGGGCTTGCACTTCCAGTTTCACTCTAGAGTAATAAAAATATATCGATACAGCCAGATGGTATTTATTCGCGTGAAAATATAAAAAACTCAAAGGGCAACTTTAAACTTCAAGTTTTCCTTACAACTATGTTAGCATGTTCAAGTTAATTGAAAACAAGTTGAATAAACCAATACTGCTTCGTATATTTCATATTCATTAGGATTCAAATGTTCAAAAATTCAAAATATAATATATATTATAGACAAAAAGCGGGTGGTTCGTGGACCATCTATTAATTATTTAGGATCCGGGAGGGGGACAACACGGCCGGAAAATCCTTTTTCCGGCTCGGACCCCATGGGAAAAGGGTCCAAGATGCCAGATAAATGCTCCCGGTATTAAAATAAAACTCAAAACCGAGCCGTGTCCCGATGAATGGAAAAATCCTTTCTTTTTGACGATTTGGAAAACGGACTTTTGTCGTCAAATGGACTTTTAAAATCTATGTATCGTCACTAGATGCCGGAAATCCGATTCCGACAGTGGAACATCTTCAACCACCTTCAAACTCTAATCATAATCCTTTCTTAAAAAAGTGGCATTAGTTGAATTTATTTGTATTTGACCAGATTCATTTATTTTCTTGTAATGAACTACATGAAAAGTTAAATTTCAAAATCAAATTGAGTTTGTTGGACACGGATTTAAATTTTCCCAGCGTTTGTTTTTTCCTAATGGCGGCCTACTCTTGATCAAAGTAAGCAATTGAAAAAGACACAAAGATAGGTAGAATGTATATTAAAATAAATAAAACAGACAAAATACAAATAAATTAAACAAAGCCCATAATTTTAAAGAAAGGACGTTTTGACTTCGAATGGGGGTTGAGCCCTGAGACACTTGTTCCCACTATCGGTGCCCGGAATTCCGGCATCCAGTGGCGGTAAACGTGGAAAGTACTTTGTACAATTTCCATTTGAGGAGATTCACTGTAATATTTTGTCCCAAAATGTCTACAGGAAAAGCTGAAGTTCAACTACAAACATAATCTTCCTCTTAGATTTAAATTGAATCTGTAGCTAAACAAATGTTGTTCTAGCTTATTTCTTAGAAGTTTTAAGCGAAAAAGTTGTTTCCTTTTTAATTCTGGTTGTTTGAACTTTTTATTTTGCAATTGTTATGACAGGTCTTCACATAATGGCGTAAATTAGCCCGCGTTAGTTTTTGCTGACCTACCCCAGATCAAAGCAAACGTTTGAAAAAAAAAAAAAAAAAGGACACAAAATTACCTGGTAGACCTTTCGGTACAACTTATCACTATGAATTTCGTCAAATGTATATTTCAAATTCAAGTACGAAGTACGTACCGCGTGTTCCATCACTTGCCGGAATTCCAGTGCTGATAGCGATAGAAAAAGTTTCAGGACAAAACAGTGAAATGTCAACCCCCTTTTCAAACTCTAATCCTCTTCCTTTCTTCAATTTGTATTTGAACCGATTAATTTATTTTAAGGAACATTCTACCAGGGTTTGTTGTGTCCTTTTAAATCGTTTGCATTGTTTGACAAATACAATTTGCGCCATTTTGTGAAGTCCTGCCGCAACAATTATTACAAAACTAATGACCTGTTGGGAAATATGGAACGATATAATTTACGAAAGAGTGAAAACTGATTGCGAATAGCAAGTCGATAGCAAGCAAATTGAGTCGTTCACGATGGTTTTGTTTTCTCATGGTGGCGGGGTCTTTTCAAAGTCCCATACTGGCTTACCACGTGGATAGATCAGTGGGCACAACATAGGATCACAATGAGGGCTTAAAGCAGAAATTTAACTTTGGACCGCTTTGACGATAGGGCACGATGTGTCGACGATGTCCTGGCGGTTTTCCTTCACAAGAAGAAAGCAAAACTCCAGCTATTGTGTAGATATGTTAAATCTATGCATCCATCGGTACACTATCGATTAAACGCAAGTTCAAGTTATAACTTTCGTCTCGTATTGTTTCAATTACAGTCTTGTGTCTTCAGCATAAGGGTTTTAACCAAAATGCATGACACTAAAGGGGTGTCAAAACTGCGCTGACTAGTTTTTATTTTTTGGGCGTCCTGATCGCCATCCACAGCTTTGGAGGAATCTATTTGAGTTAAAATTGACCGTACGACGGAATTTACCCTTACATGGCAACAAATCCAATCGGTGAATATGGTCTTACATTTTAACACGGTTAAGGTCCAATATCTGGTATTTCTTGCCTTGTGGCAGAAAAAGAGGCAAACATTGTTCATAAAATTTGGACGATTAAGACGATTTATCCAACTCCAAATTGATTTGTGGTTTTGGGAGTGAAATAAGGCCATTGTTGGGGCAGGAGTTAAAATGGCCGCCAGTTTTGTAGGCCTCAAAGAGTTTAGCATTGCAGTGCCACGTCTAACATCCATTGAACCTAAGCTGTGCTAGGGTTGGGAGTGTTCCTCCAATATAATATAATATAATGGAATGGAACAGTTACGTGGTTAGTCACTGGCACGTGAAAACACAAATATAACTCCCGATTTAAAAAAAATAGTACAAAATATAAAGAAATATGATACTCAATAACACGACAATATTAGTACTAAGAGTACTGTAACTGTTACTGTAAGGAGAGAGGTACACCAACGACCAACAGATGACGAAGTTTGAACGCAGGCACCGGCCCCCCTCCCACAAACGACAATTTTTAATTACTTATTCCTTAGTTACTTAGTCCTCACCAACAATGATTTATTCTTTGGATAATTTTTCGAATAAATTTGAAATCTCGTTGAAACCATCAAGAGCGAAAATTCGTGGAGCGGTTAAACCATTTTGATATTGATCGGCGTTTCGGGTTTCGCGATTATACAGTTAAAATACTCAGAATTTAAAACAGCGTTTTGGCTTAAAGTTCCTTAGAGAATTAAGGCATAATTTGATTTGACACAAATTCAATTTGTTTTGAATCTAAATTAGAACTTTCCTTTACAGATATGCTGTGAATCTGTCCACAATGAAGTTCGTTAAGTCACAGAATTGTGGCGTTTTGACAAATTTGACGCAAAATTTCCAAGGTCCAAGGTTTTGACTGAAATGTTTTAAATTTACTTATTCATGTATTTTTATATATTCAGAATTAATTTTTTTTCACAACTATTTACCAGGTTTTAGTTTTTTAGAAAACATCCCGTCCCTCTCTGTTTCAAACATTAAAATTACGATTTACATTTATATTTTTATTAAATCCATTATATTTCGTGGTCCGATTGTCCAAATAACTTCTTTCAAATAATTAATCTTTATGTAAGGTATTGGCTGAAATGAAAAAGTTAGTGTCACGAGCGGAATTCGAACCCTCGACCTTCGGCTGCTCTGCTACCACTTGAGCTATCGTGACTTCGATCCACTAGGACACCAACTCTCATCTCAACCTACCTTTCGAATTTTCCCTCCTTTTTGCTATTTTTTAAATGTCGTGTAATCAGGAGTCGATTCTCGGCGACAAATGAAATGGATCGAAGCACGATAGCTCAAGTGGTTAGAGGAGCGGCGTATTGAGCCGAACGTCATGGGTTCGAATCCCGCTCGTGACACTAACGTTTTCATTTCAACCAATACCTCACATAAATATATTTTTATTGTTAATGAGAATTGTAAATTTTTATTTTAATGGTTAGAAAGACCAAAATGACAAGAAACGAACAAAGTACAGTTCATCACCTCGACCCAAAAAATGTTCACAATATAATTAATTATATTCCCTTTGATTTGTTTAAATAATGTTGCGCAACTTTGATTTTAACGATCATTACAAAAAAATCCATTTATCAAAATAGAATGAAACAAACAAAACTGGAGAGGTATTACCGAACTCGTCTGGCCGAGAGAAAAAAAGGCGAATTTTTGATTAATCCAGCATAGCGGAGGTTCTTTATTTAAACTTTTCAACCGATATCAAAGAGGGAGAAACGTCAGAAAAGTTTCTTCATTCGTCAACATGTCAAAATGAAAACGTCGATCAAAGTTTCCCCGGGTCGAGATTATTGAACAAGGGGGAGGAGTGCCGTTTCTGGTATAGCCTCCATCCCAAGTCACCACCGGTTGCGGTATTAACGAGGAATCCTCCCTCTGAACCTGCGCGTCTGCACAAAAAAGCTGCAGGCTCCGGTATTAATATGTGCAGACATTCGTCTCCATGGTCGATTCGAGATTCGCACAGTGAACACGAAAATAGGTGGATAAATCCGGTTGCAAGTGTGGAACCTCGAGGGGATCCGACGTCGGAGGGTCGGTACACGATAATCGGATCTGGCTCAAAATCGGAGATTTATGGGATCACAGAAATGGGCACGTACAAGTCTTGACGTGTCTGATCGACCACACCCTAAACCTGCTCCGCTCCTACAACCCAAAAACGCGGTCACAGTTTGTGAGAAGCAAAGCTCTGAGTTCAATGGGTCGACTGAATGATTCTTTAATTAAGTCATTGCAACGGGTTCAATTTTATTCGATAAAATAATGATTTCTGTTTACAGGTAAGGGCTGATATTTACCAAAACACTAGTACAGACCTAAGGTGTTTACAAAATTCAAATTGTTGTAATTTATTTATTGTAATTATTATTTCCTCTTGAGGACTTCGGGTGATGAACCTATAATTTGGTCTGTCAGAAATCAGACACCTTTTCTTAGAAATGGGGACTGACTACATCATGGAAACTCTTTACTACATCCTTAAGGACTCTTTCAGACAAGGCGACTGACTAGTTGAACGGACGGATGTCAAGGAGTGTGACGTGGCAGCAAAAAGAAGCGAAGTTTGGAGGGAAGTCGCACAACAGTATTTGAGAGAAAGCGCCCGTTTCCCAATTTTATAACATCGGATAAACCCACACTTTTCTTTACTGGGTTTCCTCCTTTTTGCTTCTCGGGTTCTAACATCGTACTGACCTCCCGTCGGGAAGAGAGGTTGATTCCACAAGTTGCCTGGTGTGAAACCAGCAAAGAAGTCTCTTCACACGGCAGTAAACTAGTTAAGAGTCAACCGGGCACATTAGTTGAATCAACCAAACCGCCTCGCCTGAAAGAGGCCCCTCTTGAGGTCTGCGGGATGATGAATATAAAGTTTGGTCTGTCAGAATTCAGACCCCCATTCTTAGAAATGGGAACTGTCTACATCCGGGAAACACTCTTTACTACATCTTTAAGTCTCAATAGACTATTAAGGAGAGGAAGAGTTCAGGAGAACATCAGATACAATGATGTAGTATAAAGATGGTTCCAGAACGAAGGGACCGGGTCGGTTGTGTTTTGGTACGCCTAAAACATGCGCAAATTAAGCATTCGATTCAAACTCATTAGGGAAGTACACAATCCGTCTTTCAACTGATTCGATTGTTTATACATAGAATCGGACAAGAGAAGCAACTGTAGAACGAAATTGTAATCACTTATTCAGTAGGAAAAGGTTCCACGCTTTTGGAAAACGTTTTTATCGGCGAGATCGATAGCACGCAAAGTTACAAAAAAAAGTGATCGCAAGAGTCGTTACGGTTAACTCAGAAGGCAATCAATTAAGCATAAATGGTGGACGGGAGAAAACAACAATAAAATAATTAACAGCTCCCCCTCGGTCTTTGCCAAGTGGGGAGTGAAGTAAAACGATTAAGTAAAATTGCCCTGGGCCGGCCAACTCGGCAGATAAACAAGGCCGAAGACGATAAAGTAGAATGGGAAAAACAGGCGGGATTTTATACGTCTTATCGGAGGATGCAGATAAATGGACCGTGTGGGTTAGGGAACGTTTTATTATTCCAGAAAGCCCGAAGGCTTCACACTTCTGTATTTTGGAACGGACATTAATCTAGCCTCGGAGAAGAGTTTACGAGCTGTAATCAATCATCGGTCCCCGACACGTATGGATGCACATCTCTTCCTTTGGGCAGGTGTCGTCTCGGATGGAAAGTCTGGCAATCGGTCGAAGTGTAGGAAAAATCTTAAAGGATCTCATTTTATCTGTCAATTCACCTAAATCCTGATCGGAAGAGTAAACTGAAGGATTAATTCAACTGCATGTATAGTTGTGTCAGGTTTTATTGCAGTTGTTTGTGGTGCTGGTGATGAGAAAGGTGTGGCACAAGTAAAATTGGCATATTGAATTTTGGAGAGTTGCGTTAACAACTGAGGAGGAAAATGAAAGGACCAAAAAAGATGAGTATGAACGAGGATAGCGTATATGGTAATGGAACCTACTAGAAAAACTGCGCAAACATACAAGTATGTATGTTTCAACAAATAAAAGGAGTTGATAGCGGGTGTTACACTGTGAAGATACTGCCGGGAAGAGGAGACAGCATAACACATTCTATGTTTCTGTTAAGGTCTATGTAGGTGCAGGTTCTTGCAACCTGGATAACAAAAACCACAAGGAAGATCCTACACAAAGGAGCCGTTGGCAAAGCTATGGAGGCTGATTAATAACCTGAAGCTGGTCAGTGAGATATAAGTAACAGGGGAGCACAATAGATCTATTTCGGTCGAGGTGCCTCTTTCATCCCTAACTTATCCTAGTGGCTGTTGGTGTTCAAGTCAGTGAACTCATGTTGAACCGGCTAGGGTCACTTATTGGGTCTGTCTTCAGAGATGGCGAAATGACGAAATGTGTTTGAATACTTCAACAAACCAATGAGTTAAGACAGACCCATTAAGTGACCCTCCCTATGCCGGTTCAGCAGGGCATGAAAGGAGGACGATCCAATCGCGGCACACGAACTAACTGAACTGGACTGGACGAACAGGAAGAAATTGTTGTACAGTCACATCAGTTGACCTCACGCATGAAAATCTGACAGATGAACTGTTCTTTAGTAAGAAATTTTGTTCCTTACCGGCTGTTGTTCTATCCCGTTGATCTGCTGGGCGTTGGGCGAGAAGGGCGGCGCTGAGTTCGGCTGAGGTCCTTCCTTAGGTTGAACCGTGGTAGCTGTCTGAGTATCCTTGATTTGAGGAGGGGCGGGTGGCGCCTGTGCAGCCGAAGAAGCGTTAACCACTCCTGCTGCGGCTGCAGCAGCGGCGGCCGCAGCAGCTGCAGCAGCCGCCTGCGCCTCCCCGTTCTGCTGCTGGAACTGGGCCGCAGCAGCGCCGTACGGCGAGCCCATGCCCGCGGCTGCCGCCTGCACCATATGCTGTAACATAAGAATAACACGTTAACGGAAAGTATTATTTTAAAAATCGTTTTAACATTGGAGTTTATAATTGGAAATTGCTTGAAACTTGGGTTGATAAAGGGCCTCTGTGCTATTCAGTGGCCCTCTCATTTGTTGTGTTCCTGTCAGGGTGAGGCCCTTTCAGCCTCTCCCAGTGGGTCGATAGCTATCAAAAGGGCAAACGGGGTCTTGATTTCCCCGAAGTCCACCGTTCCGCCCCGAAGCCGGAATAATTCCTGATCGAAATGGGTCCGTTACCAAAAAAAAAAAGCGGCATTTCCTAAATGTACAATAAAACGCTTTTACTGGCTTGAGTTCTTTAATCTCAAGACTTCTCAAGAAAACAACACACACTTTTCTACTGGCTATTCGGTTTCAGTTTAAAAAAATTTCAACATTAAACATAAAATCTGAATTAAAAAAAAACATGGGTGGAATAAGTAAAAGTAACTAAACAATCATGTATAATTTCAATGTTTCTGTTTTTAGTTATCGTCTAATTTTCCACTCCCGAATAACCTGGATCACCGTATGGTCTTGATGGGAAAGGAAATTCAAATGCTACTGCCAAGCTTTCGACCTTTTTAAAGATCATCATCAGGAAGAAATAATCTTAAATAAGTCTACAAATTGACATAATTGAGTTTTTAATAAATGATTTTCAAGTTCCTTTGAAGGCTCATTCAATCCCATTTCCCCCATTGTCAAGGACTTTCCCCCATTGTCAAGGACTTAAGTCTCTAAAAATTACAAAACTTAATGTCAATTTTTAGACGTATTTAAGATTGTTTTGACCTGATGATATTCATCAAGACCATACAGCGATCCAGATTATTCGTGAATAGTTAACATAAGTCATAGTTTGATATGACCGTTTGCCTAAGCATGAATACTCCAAAATATTGCTTTTTTGAGATCAGCATGTTTTTCTCAGACTGTTTCGAATTTCTTTGACCGACTCATTGTCAGTACCAACATTGCCAAGGACTATCAGTATTGCTATAAATAAAAAAACTTGGCAGGAATAATTGAATTTGCTTTCTTATAAAGACCATTCCGTGATCCAGAGAGTATTCATGATAATTTGAATGGACTGTTCCCGTGAGATATGTAGATAAGGTCTAGATTCTTTCTTTTATATATAAAGTAAAGAATAAAATGCTTCGGAAATTGGGAGAACGAAGCAATCATTCCAAAAGGAAGATAAAAGAAATTCATTCTCAGAATCCAAAAAGGTCCCTTTTTCACCGATGCTCCAAGCCGACCAACAGCGCTGATAGGAGGAAAAAAGGGCCGAAGGGCCCAGGGATCCTTTTCTCGCCTAAACCAACATCTATCGCATGCATAATACATGCGAACGAAAGGTTTCTACAACAAAGTCAATTCGTGTATAAAAGATTACGGCTTCTAACATGGCCAAGTTGCGGATCGATAAAATAAATATTCGAAGATTGAATAATGGTGTTAAAACCTTTCCCGGCTTCCGCGAATTGTTTTAAGCACAGTCGAACGGATCTCGGGAGGAAAGCTTGTCGGGCTTAAGAGAAGCCATTGAATCGTTTATGGGCAGGTTTTAGGGGCATTTTTCTTTTCATTTTCTCGACGGCTTCCAATTTCCACCCCTCGCGGAAATTGTTCTCGACGTCGATGGGAATATCAGGCCCGTTTCACCTGGGTTGTTTCCAAAGGACAAATACGTCCAATTGGCGATGACAGGCGGTCAATTTACGCAATTGATTCGGCGAAGTGATTGACTCATAGCCACTGCCACTTCCGTTCCGAACATAGATGTGCTTCATTTATTTCACGTAAACTTAAGAATCTTCCAAATCCGGTGCATATAGGCGGGTTCGAAAAGTTATTTTAAATCGAAGACGAGAGTTATTAATGGGTTTTTAATAGGACGATTAAGCGTAAAATAATGGAAGGTCGTAAACCAGTTTTCAGTCAAGTCATAAAACAATACAGCTTAGAAGAAACTTGAGCAAGACGCCCTAACTTTTAATCCTCCCCCGAAACAAAAATTTACACTTGAAATCCGATGGGCTTTAAAACAAAACCGAAGATTTTTCAAGTGATTAAGTAAAGAGGAGGCCGATAGCATTTACCTTCCTTCGTCCTCGGACGGTGAGGTCATTGTCACTTCACGTGGTTTTCAGACCCAGCTCACCACCCCTTGACCATATCGACCCCGCATTAGTCTTAATCACCTTAAAACACCTTTTACTCTCAGTATACTCGGTCACTTGTCCGAATGGTGGTAGGAGAGTCGTTTCTCCCTAGCCCGCACCTATCCTCGTTAGTTTGGTCTGACAAGACGAATTTTGGCTATTCACTATTTTTCAGTCATGGTTTTTTTGGAATGTGACATGCTTTTTAATTTTATATTTTCTGCGTCATAGTTATAAGCAGGTTGAAACAAAAATACAAATCAACCACTGAACTTGGAGATATGCCGAAACGAACATACTACAAAGGAAAATGGGTACAAAAAAACTTCCGACCTAATTTGAAAACTGTTTTAAAGCTTTACAGTAAAAGATTGATTACACTTTTGCTGTCGCATTTTTTCTCTGCTTCACATAGAATAATGTATATGTCCTAATCCTAGCCTAACCTAAAATGCAAAAACATATCCCTGATAAAATGGTACAAATCCGATTAATTATTAACTGCACCTAAACCCATCATATTACGAAATTAAGAACACAAATGCGTTTCGGCCTTTCGCCATCGTCACCGTTTAGTTGGATCGGGGTATAAGCAGGTTGAGGCCACCCATATAAACCAAGCACTTTATATGAACGCTCCTGTTAGTTTTAACGTTTTACAGCAATAATGTGTAACATAACCCGAACCTAACTTAACCTGTTCTATCTAACCTTACTACGATCAACTAAATGGTCAACCAAGACCATTTGTGAATCCAACCCACAAACATATCCATATCTTAAAAGGCGATAATTTTGATTAACTAACTTCACTTAAAAAGCATCATATTTAAAGACAGACGCGTTTCGACAATTTGTCATGTTCACTGTCTAGTTGAATCAGGGATATAAGTAGGTTAAGGTACCAACAAAAACCAATGAAGCAGACCAAAACTACTAAGATAGGTCCGAATTCGTTTATATACGACCCAGTTGTAACAGACATCTTCATTATCTTCATAGCATGATCGTTATGAACTTTCTGATAAAGGTTCCGCCTTTCACCCGATTACTATCTTTTTGAAAATAGACTGTATAGGCTACATTTGTAGAAAGGTTCGTTATTTAAAATCCAATTCTTTATTTCCATTACGACGTAGCTATTATTGAAGTTCTGAAAATTAAAACCTAGGAGAGAAAGCAGTTTGATGTAACTTTAAGAATAGATCTTAACATCTAACCGATCCTGTATCAAAACAAACCAAGTCTGTAATTGTTTGGCTTATGACACGTATTTCCCACCTCTAATGCTCAATATGCTAAGGATAATTGTTCATTAAGCTTTATGTTTTCTAATAGATATTCGACATATTTTAACACGACTAGCGCTTCTCATAGGAGGGTGAGATGGTTGAGACCACACGCTCGTCGCTGTAGATTACAATTAATCAGAAACGCCAAAGTTTTCGTCGTTAAATTAAACGGCTGCGGAGGAAAGCGTTCATCCGACAAGCTGCGACGTGGAACTATTAACAAAAGTGGTTTTGATCCGGGGATGAGAGTTGACACCGGAGGGCGGTAGAGCTAGAGGGCCCAGCCGTAATTCAGGATGATAAACGGCGATGACGATTAATTAATTTTTCAACATCTACACGGATGCCAGGAATAATTGCCATGGCGTAAACTGGGAAAACGTGACGAAACTGGTTTTGTAGTGTTTAAACAAAGTTAGTAATTACATGTTGCAAAAACGCCGGATTCCACCTTGGTGGCGCGTATCCACTGCAATCGGCACGACATTCTGAAAAATTGCGAATTGTGGTGCCGTACTGGCCGCCGGGCAATAATTAGATAAAAAAAATTTCGTGAAGAAAGACATATGAAAAATGCCATCACGATTGCATTCCAGATGGAATGCCTCACACAACACGTCCGGGCCGTTTATTAAAGAGAAATATGGGGCCAAAATGGAGGGTCAGAGTAAATTCTACATACAAATCTTAAAGATGAGGACTGGACTATACCATATATAATTCAGAAAACATCAGTAGATTGCCTCTTGGCCTGAATTACTGGTGAGCACATAAAAACTAAAGTGCGTGACAGAATGCCAAAGACTTTATTGATAAGATCCAGGCCATCCCCCTGTGATATCTTCGGCCTAAATGACTTTCTCATGGGTAAAATGGTCCTTAGCCGCTGAGTCGGGAATAAAAAAGAAATTGACCAAAACTTCATTCTAATGTTTAAACATTGATGTATATTTGGTATGTTACAGATCAAACAGTCCAAACAGCAATCAACGTTGGCATACCAACAGCAATCAACTTTGGCATACCGAGCTTGTGAGATTTCTTAATGAGTAATATAACAAAGGTCTGCTTGATGATGAATCATCTTCAGCAGAGGTTTTGTGTGTTTAGTCGAGTCTTTATTTCACTTGTAGGTGTTATTTTGACCTAAAGATGGCGGAACTGATTTAAAGATTTGTCTGTAAAGATATCTTATAATCCAGGTCTGACTAGTCTCGCTGTTTGTCGTTATCGTTCCTTATAAGGTCATAACCGGAGTCCCACTGCACGTAAGGCCCATCCCTCGAGTAATTATAATTTTTCAAGAAATCCGCGGTTACACCCATAAAGCACTAAAGTGTTTCAACAACCAAATTTACGCTTGAGGTCCGATAGAAAACGTGGAAGAAGATTGATCACATTTTGTACAGGATGGACTTGATCCTTAAACAAAAGTTAATCGACATACTCAACCCAGCTCAATTATTTCTATTGAGAAGCTTGGTCATTTAATATCATCTTGGTCCGCCTAATCTCG